CATCATCTGGTTCTTCAGTGAGAGTGATCTATTGAGGTTTGCATCTCTGCAAAGGCGGACTGTTTGTTTTTTGTTAGCCAGATCCCAAGGGAAACATCCTTAGCCTCTGAATGATTCCTGAAAAACAGAGGAAACAACATTTTCTTAATGTAACAAAGTGTAATCAAGATTTTTAAAAATCTATCAAAAAACATGCATACAGTGGGATCCATAGGCCATGAGGTCACCAATGAAAAGGTTTTGCATTCTTTTCTAAATGAACAAGTTTAAACATGAATAAAATGTACTACTACCTGTAAGTAAAACTATACTATACAAACAAAAGGAACAATGTGACAAAACATTACTTTTGATAAAATGTACTACCATACCATGTAAAAAAATTCTCAAACCAATTTTCTCTTTAAAAGTCCATGTATCTAAACCAAAATTTGTTTCTAATCTCATCTCCAGTTGATTTCACTACCGTAAGTCTACCCTAGGTCAGTTCTCTTTTTAGAGCTCAAATTACTGTTATAGGGTCAGTTTATATAGACAGAGCAATTCCACTCACATCAAACTCAAGTTAAGAGCCCCGGCTTGAAGCGAGACAACACATGGGCAAGACTGATGAACATCAAACTCTCTGTTTGAGTAACGAGGGCACTTAGGGCACAGTTTCATTTTACTTCCATTATGTTTTAAAGTGCCTCCCCAGATGCAAATACCCTCCCCTCTCCAATCCTATTATCACAGCTCTATATGAATATTCTGTTGAATAATACAGACCTGGCTGATACTATTGCTTCTTTAAACGCTATTTGCATGCAAAATAGATCATTCTGTATAGAGGACATAATGTCTAACTTCTCCTCCTGGAAAAAAGAGATTCCCATTTATGTAATACATATAGGTCTGTAAATGTAAACTGCACTATGACGTGCATTTGTATATTCTGTAGTTAAGATGAGCTAGTCAGAATCAGTGACATTCTGATCAATAATAAGCTGAAAGCAATTGATGAGCCACAGTCTTGCATGAACATCTGATTTAGGCCATACTGCTGCCTTCCTGGTCCATACATGGATATTTCTTTACAAACAAGACTAGGGCATGATTGTATTTGTTTGATTAATATTTACTTGATTGTTGCTTTGTTTTATAGGACTAAAAATAAATAATAACAAAACAGCATCATTTTTCCATGCAATCCTACACAAGGAGTTTGGAGACTGGATGTAAATGCTAATTTTTACGCCATCTCAACGCCTCCAATTTCATTGATGAGATGACAGTTATGTCAAATGAAAGGTGAAAAGTTAACATAAAGAGCTCAAAACCACCCACAAATACAAGTGTGATTGCTGTTTTTGTCAGTTTGCTTTGAAATGCAAAGAAAGAGAGACGCATGAAACATATCTTATTTTGCTGCCCTTATTGTGGGAAGTAATATCCATATGCCTCTGTGTTTCGGTTCCAGAAACAACATGTTTGCATGGCCAGGATATATATTTGCGCATATCTATTTGAGTAATACAACAAATAAGTTGCCAGGTGTTCACACTACAGTGCAACATGAGACAACTCATGATAATGTCAATTTAAAATACTTCTATTATAGGTCTACTCAGTTTCAATTACAGTTGTTTTCTTTTCACAAATAGAATGTTAATTATTAAAACAAATATGCTAAATGAAACCATTCAAGCTGACATCCAGCCTTTTAGAAACAAATCATCATGTAGGCTACCAGCATTATAAAGAACTACTTGAAGTACTCGTTTGAGGAAAACAGCCCTACCCCCCTAAATAAAAAACATGAGGGGAACAATGAAACACTTGTCTGTGCAACACTATGTGGAAGCACAAGCACAACAGCTATAGACAAGACAAGCCTATATTCAAATTAGTAAGAAAATGGTTAGGCTATCCAAGACTTTACAACATTTTTACATAAGCAATAAACATTATGAAAGGATCAACTTGCCTGGTTATAAGATGATAAAATTGTGCTCCATTCAAAAGAATGCGATGCAAATCGTCTGGTGCCGCGCTGCAGCTTCTCGTCTCATCCCGATCGTAAATTCTGCTGTTATGGCGATGCTGCTCTTGCAAAGTGAACTTACCCGCATCTTTTACACTGACATTGCCAAGTAACGTTAGCCTACTTCTAATGCGGACCAATTATAAGAAGCAAGTAAAATGAGCTGATGGCCTGATGTGCAGTCAGATCAAAAAGTTTTCGCTTAACAAGAGACGTCGAAACAGACCGCGTTCAGCATCCAGTGAATCAGGTTGATTTGAAGCGTCAGCTGCATGGAAATCTCATCAGTCATTCACTTACGCAATGTTTACTTTTCGAGTGTACTAGCTAATATGCAGATGAAGTGGCATTATTCAGAGCAGCTTAGAGCTTAGTCTCCCTGCAGTCACTGCCAGTGCCTTGTAGGCGTGGTTGTCATTGTGTTGTCCTGTGAACGAAAACAAACGTTAAACTCCGTTAACCAATGACAGCGCGAGCGATCCCAGGTGACGCGAATGTCCCTGCACTGTCCGGACTCGGGCGGGCTCGGGTGGAGTCGGGAGGGAACTGCTTCGTGTTTAAAGAGAAATCCTTTTTATCAGCTTTTAAAATGTAGGGTAGACTGACTGAGTACAGTTGAGACACACAAATATAGATACTGAAAAGAAGTGAATTTCGACATGACAAACCACATGACATTTCAGTAGCTAAGTTGTAGACTAAGATATTATCAATCAATAATAGCTACCCATAAGTAGTTTATATTTTACACAATTAGCTCATAAAAATAAGGTGTTTTTTCTCATTTTTAATGATGTAAAGGTAATGAACTGTTCATTGCAAATATAATAAATAAAGAAAATAAAAATTGGACAACATGTTTCTTTATATAGCCTATTCATTCATTTTTCTTAAATTAGAACTGGTTAAATTTATTTTAAAACAGAAACAATATATTTTATACATACATTAATAATAGCCCACACAGTTTAAATATCACAAATATCAAATTTTATTTTCATTTGCATCTTATGCTGGATAATTCCGACTTTTAACCTGTTATAACACTGAACAACTAAACTGTGTGTTTCCTATTCTAAAAATTGATGGGTTGTTTTAACCAAACTTTGGGACAAATATGGACAATCCCAGCCATTGGGTTACATTTTTAATTACATTTTTGACCCAACGTTTGGGTTTGTCCACATTTGACCCAAAGTTGGGTTAAAACAACCTAGCATTTTGGTACAGTTGATACACATCTGTCTTAACCATACCCCGATGGCCACCACCTCGCACATTTCTCTAGATTTTGCAATGACCTTCCATGACACAATATCATATGCCAGTTTTTAGAGCACATAATAACATTTGTGATGATACGTTCAACCATAGCGTTTAACAGTCACATGTAAGGATAATAAGCATTCATTGTGGAGTGTTGCCAATATATTTGGATCGGAGATGCATCCATTGTTCAAATATCTCATGATTAAAGAGGACACTACACATGTGCACAGCAAAAACTTGTGCTTGCTGCACTAACTGTACACATGTCTTTACATATTTAAACCTGTAACCAAATACTCAGTATTGTAGGAAATCTATTCCATAGGCAGAGAAATTCTAACTTTTTTAACAGACATTAATGGCTGTTGATTCAGCTTAATGTATTTTGCATGACTAATTAAAAAAAAAAACAACATGTTAAAAGGATGAATTATACAAAAGCAGTTTTCGTGAAATTGTTCCAGATGTATTAAAGATTCTATATAATCTGCTAAAATTAATTAAACTACAAAGTAAATAAGTACAATAATTTTTGTAACATTTTAATTTATATAATTTTATTTCTATGAACGGCCCCCTTGATAGTTTAGGGGGATCTCAAAGTGGGTCCCGGGCCCAGTTTAGAACCATGGTCTATTATATGGTGGACTAATAGCCTAAATGTAAATTGAGGAATTAGTCACTGAAAAAAAAAATGATGACGAGCTAATGAGATGTGCGTATCATTTTCAATGTCTATAATGGTCACAGTTTTGTGTGTTATTGCCCTTTTGCGTGCTCCTTTATAAATGTAATACAATATAAAAGTCATTTGTACTGAAGAACGAGTCAATAACGAGTCAGGGGTCCCCGTGGAGCCATTAGGAGTACTGCAGAGAGAAAAGCTTCATGCGAATGTAACTCTTTGAGATACAGAAGCAAAGAGTTTCCTATCTCTAATTGGAATTTTTATGCCTTGTAGAAAACCAGGAATGAGAAATAATTATGAAGATTTATTTTTACACCTTGTATCACAAAACATCCAACAGGCAATTCTCGTTCCCCAAACTCTTTTTGAATTTCAGAATTTCAATAAGTCTCATGTGGAGCAAACCCAGGTAACATCCAGAAGCATCCATCTAACCATATTAATGAGTGTAACGCTCAAAAACTAAACATATGTATGTTTTCCTTAACAGCCCCAGTTTTATTTTTCCACTGGCAATCTTAACATTATCTTTAAATTATGTTTGAAGAATTTGGCCATGAAAAATACACAATTTTATTTAAACCCACAGATCCCTGATCATCCATGTGCTGTTTTCTCATGATATAGTTGCATGTCAGCAGGTCATGATTATCATCCTTTCCTCCCACACTTGAGTGGGAAGCGATCATAGACAGCCTCACCTCCTTTGGCCAAATGATCTAATGTTATCGGAGATACTGCAAACTTTAAAATACAATATCTGACATTCATATCTACTGCATTCATCATGTTTGACATAGATACAACATAGCTGCCTTCCTTAAACTCTCAGGTGCTTAATCAGAAGATGCTTTCAATTGGAGTATAGATTAATATTTTGGCAAGCATTTGGCAGCTTGTATTTAATCAGTGTGGGAGACTGGGTAAGGAAAAAAAAAACTGATGGAAGAAATTGATCCCTTGTTGAACCATTATGTATTTATTTAATGTTTTCTTGGTGGGTTGCTTTTTCTTTCTTTCTTTTTTTGAATTAAATTAGTCAGCATCCTTGGTCCGCCTTAATTTTCCATCATGACCTTTAATGACCAAAGAGAAAAAGAAAATCTAATTAATTCACCTAATGCAAATCTCTCTTCCAAAGCTCAGGGATTTGTTAACCGTAATGGCTTTAGACAGAACTTAAAGGGATAGTTTAGCCAAAAATGAACATTTTGTCATCATTTACTCACCCTCAATTTGTTCCAAACCTATATGAGTTTCTTTCTTCTCTCAAACAGAAAAGAAGATACTTTGAAGAATGTCTGTAACTAACAGTTGACCATATAGCCATTGACTTTCATTGTAGGAAAAAAATATACTAAAAAGTCAATGCTAACTGTCTGGTTACCGACATTCTTCTAAATATCATCTTTTGTGTTTAACAGAAGAAAGAAACTCATACAGGTTTAAAACAACTTAAGGGTAAATATAGCTAAATGATGATGATAGAATATTTTTTTGAGTGGACTGTCCATTTAAAGAACTGTAGGCTAGTTTTTTCTAAAAAATAAAATAAAATAATGCATGCATATTATCCATTAAATATTATCGTACACATTGTTGTGAATGCATTATTTCTGCAAAAGCATTACAGTGTACCTTGTCGATCCAGTCATTGAAAGAGGAAACACGGGTGAAAACAGTAGGCTTCCTAATGGTGTTACAGCCCAAACCAGAAACGAAGCTGGCAATACCGTGCACCTCCCAGATGCCGTCAGAGTTCTTACAGTTCAGAGGACCGCCAGAGTCACCCTGCATGTTCACAAAAAAAAGCAATTTTTTTACTAATTAATTGTCATATATTGTCCTAGCACAAAAGCATTGTATGTAAGTTTCTCAATATTAACTGTTGGTTTACTGCACTATTGTATAAAAGCAAATTTGGAACAACGTGGCTCTTTTGCTCGAGGGATATTGCTTAAATTAGTTGCGTTGAGTTAGTCAGTAAACTTATGCTATAGATGTCTCACAAATGAAGTGGCACAAGATTAGCACGATGGACAAATTGAGTTTGAGTTTAAATTTATAACTTTTTTTTTCAAATAGAGATTATGATTTTCCCACCATTCTCAAACCAGATAGCCCAAGTCTATTTGATGTGATTTTTACATCTGGAAGACGTATTTTTAAGAGTGTTTGCTCTTCTGCAATACTAGGAAGTTTCTATAGGAAGTTTCCTGTCAGATAGACGTTTAGAAGATATCAGTTTAACATGCATTCTAAATCATTACATCTTATAGACATCTTCTAAACGTCTATTTGACATCTGGCAGGAAACGTCCTATTGCAGATGAGCAAACACTCTTAAAAATATGTCTTCCAGATGTAAAAATCACATCAAATAGAATTGTGTTATCTGGGAAGCGACAACTAAACAAAATTGACAAAATGTTTATTGCTGCAGTCTATTTTAAAATGTTCAATTAATCTGAGTAAAAATGTATGTAAAAAAAGAGAAAAAACTGTAAAAACAAAATTGGTTTGAATGAATGATTCAATGACTCACCCATCAATAGGCCTATGGTTTCATTGGATGAATCCGTATTTTTAATGATTCTCCTAAATTAATGATTCTATGACAAAAAAAAGTCAAGTCATTTGTCGCCATCTGGTGGCGTAACAATCATCAAAATCGTTATTTGAAGTTCGGCCTGCTTGGCGATTTTGTTAGATTTTGTTCAAATCTGTAGACACCAGTGTTTATTGATCAAACTATTAAACTTTTGTCCCAGTACTTCTGTGATAAATAAATATTTGTAACACAGAAATAATGATATTGTGATGTTGAAAAGCTGTTTCATCCATACAACTGCTCTCTCGGGGTCAGCCACAGCCAGCACCAATGCAAATTTGAATGTTCCGGTGTGATTTTTTTTGTAAAAGTTTAATAGACACTAGTGAATCGTTGTCATTGTTGTAGGCTACAGCTCTACACAAGATACTTGTTTTTGAACACAGACTGAATAACTTCACTCACATTGCAGCCAGCGACAATGCCGTCTCCCCCAGCGCAGACCATAGATTCCTTGACGGAGGAGCCCCACCAGTCAGACATGGTGCAGGTAGCGTGATCCACAGCGGGCAGCAGTGCTTGTTGCAGTCTGTCAGGAAGAGAGCCTCCAGCTGGGACACAACAAGTATGTTTATTAATACTGTTATGTGCAGATTACCTCACATAAACACTAAAACATGGCAAGGGCTTGTTTTACAGGGTCAGGTTTGTGAATATAAAAAAAAAAAATTCAGCTATTATTACATGCATGTAGGCTATGTCAGGTTAGCCACAAGCACTTACTGGAGATTCTTCCCCAGCCTGTGATGTAGCAAGGGTAGTTGTTTGGGAGGGTGGAGCCAGCAGGAGGAATGCAGCCCAGATGAACAGTGTCACTCAGTGTCACAGGCTGGGACAACTTGATCAGGGCAATGTCGTTTCTGAATAAGCACAATCACAAGTGAAAGCTGTTGTTTGCACTCACTGTGTTGATGTCCACAGTCAGTGTCACAAAATAAACCGACAGGTTGATCAGGACTGGGATGTGAAGCCATATATGACTTGATGACTCTACTGTATATAAACTGATTTGAGTTTTACATAATAATGTAATTTTATTATCCACCTTAACGCCCAAGTAAGCTATTTTTTCTTGATGTGTGAACCTTTCCGATTCATTGGCCACTATACAACTATAAGAATAACAAAGTGCAGTAAACAGTAAATTATTCACTGCTCAAACCAATGTGTTTATGATTGATAAATAAACATATGAAAACCGTTTGCCATATTAAGCAACAAGTGGATAGAAATATTTTGAAAATTGTTTTCCTCTCATTTTAAAAAATTGTCAGTTTTACAGTATGTGGTCTTTATTAAAAATACTTGCTCTAATATCCTTATTAAGGTTTTCTTTGAGTTTAAAATCTGTAAATTCGGTCAACGTATTGACCAGACATGTTTACGTTTCTATTCCCTAAAATGAAATATGACAATGGGAAAGTATAATACTTACCCAAGAGCCACAAACATGGAGTTCCATTTCTCATGCACAATGATCTTCTGAGCACTGATGGCCATTGAGCCCTCCTCATTTACGGACAGGTCATGCTTACCAATGTACACCCTGTAGTTGCGCCCAGAACTACAGGAGAGAAAATGCATGATGGTTAAAATCCAGTTGAAAGCTATTGAATTCCTCATGTTCAAAACTTTGAACACATTTGAAAAGGAATTGGATTCTGCACTGACCAGAGATTAACATACTAGATGAACACTGCATTGGACTCTTATAGCTACCTGATGCAGTGAGCAGCAGTCATCACCCAGTTTTCGGCAATGATAGATCCACCACAAGTGTGATACCAGGAGCTACCGCTCTCATACTGCAGAGAGATCTAATCATGGGAAACATAATTAAGCATGGTGCTATCATGTTAAACACACAGCAACAGTAGACCTTTGTACTAGCGACGCCAAAATCAGGGGTTTGATTCCCAGGGAATGCATGGTGAAACTGCTGAAATTTGAGCCTTGAATGTTGTAAATTGCTTTATAATGTAAATGAAATTGATTGAAAAAGAGGGAACAGATGCAAAGGCAAAGTGTGGATAGTAAATCTGAGGCAAATAGGGTGAGACGGAGGTAGTAACGAGAGGAAAACAAGGCAGACAAAATGGTGCTACATACCTGCCAGGGCCAGCTGTTGGGTCTGGCTTCCTCTCCATTGACCACACGAGTGATGAGAGGCTCAATGGGTGGTTTTCCACACCCAAAGGCTGCAGTAGAAATTCAGAATAAAACCTTTACAACAACATCTGTAATCATTATGTTGCAGGACACTAAGTCTAAGTCTCCTGACCACTTCTGTTCAGGTGTGCAAACTTCTTACCGCTAGCGATGAGCACTGATGCTAGGATGAGGGCGAACATGTTGACTGCCCGAGCACTGGCATTACCCACTTTTAAACTCTTTATTAGTGATGTCACATTGGCCACACAAAATTATGAAATAGGCGCTGCATGAATCATTCCACCAGTCTTGCTTGGAAAAAAACTATCAGTTTCTGAACAGCTGCTTTCCATGAATACATTCACATGGCCTTCATCCTTAAACTTTTGTCTTGACTCAGTTCACTTAACCCATGTGCTGTGCTGAAAAACCTGAGACCCCTTATCACCAAATATTGGATTCAATATTTTTGTCAACTTGTTTTTTTCAATTAGCACAGGTTTTGTATTTCTATTTTGAACTGATTGATCATAGGCTTCATGGATCTGAACTTATGCACCTCAGTTTTTGAGTGAAAAAAAAAACATTATTTGTGGATAAATTTCGTCAATATTCAACAAAATATGGGTGAAAAAATGTCACTGTTTATCAAACTACTGTGTTTTAATGTTTCACTAAGTTTGTTTTGAAACGCTTTTATTTTGTACAAAATGGTATAAAGTCGCATTTATGGTGTTCCCGATCAGAAAATATTGAAAAGCCCTCGGATGTGCATGCGTGGATACATACACACTCGTGCTACTGCACACAGACACACACACACAAACACACATGTTCATACTGTACAGGGAAAAAAAAAAACTATTTTTAGTGTACAGGCTTTCTTTTTCACACGGATGACCTTTATCCTCATATCAATGAGGCCAGTCAGCTTCAAAATATAAATTCAAAACCTGTCCTAATTGAAAAAAAAAAAAAAGTTGAAAAAAATATTGAATCCAATATTTTGTGATATTATGACATAACAAGAGATTTAGGCTATTTTAGCTATTTTTTTTCAAAGGTCGGTCATTCCCGGTCACCGTTCTTCCTGGTTAAACATTAAAGCACACTAGTGTGAAAAATTGTACAGCATATTAGGTCGAAAACTGAGGTGCATAAGCTCAAATCAGGAAGAAAGTAAAGGTGGTGGTGGGAAAAAAATTGGGGAAGTAGTTATACCCTGACTGAGTAAAGTCAGTAAGTTTTAGTACTTTTTTGGGAAAAAGAAAATCCTTTCTGGGTAAAAATGACCTAAACACAACCTGAGGTAAACGAAATTATATTTATTAACATACAGTCTTTAGCATACAATATAGCATTTACATTAGAAAGAGCATCATTTGGATGGAAATAACTTGTCAAGTCAGTGGGTGTGAGTTTTCTAAACTTGTCTTTTTTTCTGGGCAATGTTTGAAAGGTTTATAAAGATTAATAAAATGTATGTAATAAATAATAAATAAAACAAATTAATCTCTATTTTCCCCAAGTTGTAACATGTTGTTGTTAACCCCCTCATAGCCGCTGTGAACAATGTTACGTTTAAACCTACGGTCAGGTTTGAAAGTGTTCAGCACAGCAGATGGTAAGTTCTCAGTGAAACAAGGTTAGCAGCAAGATCAGAAAATTCAGCAAATAATATTGCACCAAGAAGGTTGAGGATCCAAATGCAGTTTGTTTGAAGGGTTGTCCATAGTCACAGTCCAAATCCAGGCAAGGGTCAACAATAGCAGTTAAGGGCTGAGGGCCTGAGTCAAAGAGAGACAGCCGAGGGAACAGGCAGAGAATCAACTCAAGAAAACCATGAAGGCAGGAAAAACAGACAGAACGCTCAGGAATGCGGAGTTAACAACTAACAAGACTTTGCAGATAATGAATGAGAAAACCAGGCTTATATGGGGTGAGCTAAACAAGGTAATGACATACAAGTGGATGAGTGCTGATGAGTCCAGGCAGAGAATAGGCTATATGCACGCATAAATTCCGCATTTGACATAAGGCTGCTCTTCAGTTTCCAGTCGGGGAAATTTAAAGCGGAGGAAAACGGGATTATGGCGGAGTCTTAAAAATGGACTGTCCTCCCGTCTTTGAAACGAAACTTTAATACGTTTAGATGTTATTTTATATATAGTTATCTTTATTTTATATAATAAACAAATAAGCATAAACAAAATGAGGGGTGGCTGTTTTGTCTGTTTTTGTGACTAACGTTCCTTAAATTCTCAGTTTAGCATAGGACTCTACGATCGGCGGAAGTAATCCAGCATCCTTAGACCTTCACCGGAATAGGTCATGCACTGCTGTGCATTGAGCGCATGCTCATAGATAGGCCAAAGCCCATATTAGACATTACTCTGATAGTGCCTATTATGAGAGATGTGTAGTTTGTAAGGGAATGAGAACGGTCTGATGTGGAGTGCCCTCTGGTGGCTCTCAAGGGCACTCCAGCTGGTGACAGGATTACTCAATGGCTCATTTTCTAATTTCATTTAAGTTTTTTATTTAAGATGGTTAAACATTAGAAAATAAATATTATAACATATATATATATATATATATATATATATTTACCATTTCTTTGTACTGAAGCTTTTTTATTTTGTGAAATTGTCACTATATTATGTCCAACCTTAACGTGTGTGTGAGTGTAGTGTATAGTGTTTCGTTACACTTAGGTAAGAGAGAGCAAATTGTGTAGTCTCCCCCCATTAATCGCTCTGTGTAATTTTGTGGGGTGGGGGGAGGCTCATATGTTATGTACGGTGTCTGTCACCCTTTATGTGCATTTTCTGCATTGTAGCTATTTTTATTTTTTTTTTATCTAACAGATAATTAGAGAGGAATTTGTCTCCCAGGATGTGTTATAATGTTGCCACTTCATTTCTCTGTATTCGTGTTCTGTGTTGTGTGGCTGATTTAGTGATTCTATTTAACAAATAAATAAAAAAATAAGTGTTGATTTTATCGCCTCCCCATTAATGTCCAATGTGCGGTCAACACTGAAAGAGTTGATCTGTTGCTCAAAGACAGTTGCAGCAGAATGTTCATGTGTTGGCTTGCATTTTGACATGAGGCTTAATGTTGTGATAAAAAAAAAAGCAATACAACAATATCAGTAAGCTGATAAACTTTATTAATTGTGATATTCCTGCAATGCAAATAATTTACTTATTGATAATATTGATATTAATATTACAAAAAGTAATCCACGTCATGACTAATAATCCATGGATGCTGCATGCGTTCTGGTTAATTGACTCATTCATTGAAAGGGGTGCGTTTAAAATTATAGTATTTATAAATGTTTATAAAATTATTAAATGTATTCTAAATTCGAAAAATTAAGGAGCAACTGACACCACTTACAGTAAATGTAAAAATCTATTTTAAAACGAACCTACCAAAAAAAAAAAAAATCTTAAACCTATATAAATCTTAAATATTTCATCTTATATATTTATGTCATACATCAGTAATATAAGCTTCACGGATTAGTTGTTACAAGTGTTGTTGTGTATCTGATGTCTTTTTGGGAGGGGGTGGGGGTACTGTGCTGTATTTGTGTTGTTTTTTTAGTTGTGATGGTGTTGTTTTTTTAGTTGTGACACAACTTATGTGTGGCACATATGCGTGTGGCTTTGGGGCCAGCGTGTTGATGTAAATTAAGTGGTATATGTGGGCATAAGACACATTCCTATCAACTGCATTGTTGAAATGGCTAAATAAATCTTTGACTTTGACGTTAAATGTGAGAAAATAAGAACAGAATCATGCACGCATGTGTTATGAATTAATTATGAATACTGTAAAATTACCAGAATTACTTTTCTGGTAAATTTAATTTACACATGATCTCAACTGTAATTTACCGGTAAATAACCAGTAAAGTCTTTATATGTTAAAGGAGCTTTTGTTTGGAGGAACAACGTTTGATTAAAAAGTTGATTGTAGTGGGGCCATCACAAAAAACCTAAAACACACGGAAGAAAACTAGCATCTACTATTAAAACAGATTAGTCAGAATGGCAAAGATTCATCTCCAGGAAGAGCAAAGGTTAATCTAAAAATACCTGTAAGCTGTTACAGTCAGATAACCATTGATCAAATCAACAAGAAGCCCCCGTAAAGCACCATTGTTGAAAAAAAAATGGCATGTGCAGAATCATTTAACCCTCAGGTGCTCTTCGGTCATTTCTGACCGAAAAAATGTATGTTTTGAAATGTTAAAAATCACAGCTTCATCGGAATGTTACGAAACTTGGTGACTTTTATTCCATTGGGTATGCGAACACACAAAAAAATTGAGGTCATGATCCGAGCATGCTAAGTGGTCGTAAAAAAAATAGCCACACTTGTGCTCTTCGGTCAAAAATGACCGACCATAGGAAATGAATGGGAAATTGACAAAAACACAAAAACTTTGAGAATTTTTGTTTGTACAATCTACAAATCGGCCACGATGCAGAAAAAAAGTGCTCAGCATTGACGGGGTGACACTGTAAAACATCAAGACTGCAAAACAGACATACCCACCCCTACGCACACACATACACACACACTTTTATACACAAAAACACCAATAAATTGTGATTAAAGAAATCTGTTTTGAATATTTAAAAATCACAGCTTCTTCAGAAAATTACGAAACTTGGTGACTTGTATGGCATTGGGTATGTGAACACACAAAAAAATTGAGGTCATGATTCGAGCAATTTAAGTAGTCGTAAAAAAATGAGTCACACTTTTGCTCTTCTGTCAAAAATGACAACCCATAGGAAATGAATGGGAAATTGATACAAAAAAAAAATTCTCTGAATTTTAGTATGTACAATCTACAAATCGGCCACAATTCAAAAAAAAAAAAAGTACACCGCAAGAAAGGGGTGACACTCTACAACATCTAGAGTGCAAAACAGACACACCCACCAACACACACACACATACAAACACACTTTTATACACATACACACCAATAAATTTTGATTACAAAAAGTATGTTTTGAATTTTTAAAAATCACAGCTTCATCGGAATGTTATGAAACTTGGTGACTTTTATGGCATTATGTATGTGAACACACAAAAAAATTGAGGTCATGATCTGAGCATGATAAGTGGTCTTAAAAAAAAATAGTCACACTTGTGGTCTTTGGTCAAAAATGACCCCATATGAAATGAATGGGAAATTGTAAAAAAAAAAGAAAAAAAAATGTGAATATTTGTTTTTTTGTCATTTTTTTTATAAGAAATAGTTTTTGAGATTGTTTCAACTATATATACAAATCCAACAACAACAACAACAAAAATGTGTTCATAAACAGCTGGGGAATTCACATGCCTCTCAATAGAGAGCTGTACTGCCATCAAGTGGTTACACCATGATTCTACGCTTTTTCTCTATACTGTAACCAGATGGTGCTAATTTTCTTCAAAATTTTTTTTTTTCTGAAGGCCTAGACTCTATATTAAACTAAAATACTGCATTAATATTTTTTTGAAGAAAATAATATATATAGAGAAAATAATATATATTTTTCTATGGCAAAAATAAACCATAAATATTGCATAAATATTAATAAATTCATTTAAATTGTCTCAAAATACTAAATTAAAAAGAATAAATATTATAGAACAAAAATAAATTGCATTGGTTTTACTGGGATGGAGAAAGTTTCATTTTTAGGTGTCCGGTCACTTTTGACCGGGAAGATAACAAGTGTGACTCCGAAACGAAGAGCACCTGAGGGTTAAAATTTGCCAAGGAAAACATTGATTGGCCCAAATAGAAATGGTGTAACATTCTGTGGACTGATGACAGTAAAATTGTTCTTTTGGGGTCTGTGATAGAATGTCATACGACCCTCGGATACTGAAGTCAAGCCACTGTTCACAAAATCATGGCATGGGAATGTTTTTTTAGACTAATGTGGTGGATCTATTTAGAGATCATGGATTAGTTTGAAAACATAAAAATAGGGGAGACTGGGACAGTTGCAACAGGGGATGGTTGCAACATGTCATTTATCTCCAATCAGAAACAAGCTAGATGACACTCACCCTGCACATGCACAATTGGAGATTTCTGAGCTGCTCCAGGATTTATTGACGAAAAACTGTTTTTGAAGTATGAAAGTAATTATTTTCTTGAGCTTTGTTTTTGTTATACTGTTGTAACTTTTTATGTGATTCAGCTCAAACTTTTATGGTTTAAATGAGTGATATGTTAACTTTAAGCTGTATGGTTAGCATGTATCAAGGTAGCCTTCTTTAGCTGGCACATGAGGTTTTATGGCTGACAGGAACAGGGACAGTTGCAACAGTTCCTGTCAGCCATGATAAAACAATCATGAAAAATGCATAAATAAATAAACATAATACAAAATAGTTTTTAAAACATGTTTTACATGAAAATAAGCTAAATAAAAGTTAATTGCCTCACAAATTGTTCCATTCTTCCCATGTCACTAAAAGTCTACTGTATTTTATATCAGTTTGTATATTTGACATCTGAACATAAGGCCTATTCATCTAGATAAATCTATAATTGTCATCTAATCAAAGCTTGTCCTATATGCTGAAGAGAAAATGCCCCTGAAATGGGTGTGTCAACACTACGACGACCCCAAACACATAACTAAATTAGCAACATGTTGATTCCAGACAAAAAGGATTGAAAAATGAAATGAAACTCCAAACTTTATAGGAACTATGGAATGTAGTTTGTTCTTCCTGCACTCTTAGAAGAAAAGGTTCAATAATGACAAGAAAGAGTCCTTTTGGTACAAAGGTTCTTTATAGGCTATTATTCATTCATATTTTACATTATTCTGTAACATTTTTTTAGTTGTAATTAAATTATTGTTCATTAAACTATTGTAGTAACTTTTTAATCATGCTGATTTTTGGAGGAGAAAAACTGAAATGGCACTCTTCGTGTGATATTGATTAACTGCATAAAATGATATAAATATATACGTTTTCTAACCCCCATATCTTGAATTTTGTGATCATTCACATTCATTCATAAAAACATTTTAGGGTCTTGATGTTTGTCAATAATATGAAATATTTCATCCGGAAAGGACAAAACAAATGATAATGAATGAACCCAAAAGTTTCCATATAGAACCTTTTTCCTGGTTACAAAGAACCCTTAAGGGATTTTATTATTGAACCCTTATAAAGGGTTCTGTATAGAACCCTTTTAGGGGTTCCAAATACGTATCGCGTGGATAGAGCCTTTTGAGGTTCTATATGGAACCTTTTTTAGCATAAAGTTCTTTGGAGGTGAGTAAAGAACTTTTGTTGTTCGATATTATACTAAGATAAGCAAATTTAAACTGATGCTGTAGGCTAGACAATACCAACTGTTGTCTGATCGTTTTTAAGAGATCGATGGAATTTATTTATAAATCAGTCAAATGTGCATTGTGCCAAACCAGCATTCATTCAACAAGACTATTTAAAGATGGGCTTTGAAAGTGAACTATTCCTTTGAGTCTATGAAATCCTTTACTTTAAAAGCTAGTGATGTTCTAAAGTAAATCATCATGGTGGATGGGTCAAGGTTAGGGAATATTTAAGGCAACAAACACATTCTCTATATTTCTGCATTTCATTCAGTTTATGATTAACGTAAGATACAATTGTTCTTTATTTGCTCTGATGTCCTCCAGAACTCTGCACAGTCTAATCATCCACCACCTTGTCTATGTCACAGCTCTCATGATTTGTTATGGTGTGATTTTTTTTTTTCTCAGCTAACAAAAAACGGCCATCTGCCAGTGGTCTGGAGTTCATTGGTCCTCTTGTGAGCTCTGTAGAGGAGACCCCAGACCCCATCTGTACAGTTATTAAGGGTCAAATTCCCTTCTGGATCACTGGCAGCTTCCTTAGGAGGAATGGACCTGGCAAATTTGAGTTTGGTGAAAGCAAGTAAGAGTACTCTGGGTTACCATGCGTTTGTCCAATCAATGACACTCACACTGCAAATTTGCAAATAAGGATGTTAACCCAGGTTTTAGGAATGTATAGTGTGAAACGGCTGCGTACAAATGTGATTAACTGATAACCTCTGGTAAATTATGAGCAATGTGAAACATGAATCAAGAAAACGCATCAGTCGCATATCTGTAACTTAATGCTATATGTTGCCATGTGTAAGGAAGAGGTAGGCCGAATGGATTCCATAAGCGGGTCTTTATTAAAGGATCTGAGCATGAGTCATGACATCCCAATAGTTCCCATTCATAGTCAGGTCACAGGCAAAGCAATCCATGGCAGAAAAATCGAAAACAGAAATCCAGAAAGAGCGCAAAACAATTGATCATAACAGTAATCAACAACAATGGGATGAAGAATGCTTTTGGCAGTGGAGCTGGCAATATGGCAGTGGGAACACATGGCTTGAATACAGGGTGACCGGAAATGAAAAGATAGGAACTGATGTAAAAGAAATGATTTCAATGATATTTCAAAGAAAAATAAATATAATTTAAAATTCTTCACCATTGCCCCTGGAACAAGATTATTTCTAAATGGAGCCCTATACTGTAGATGAAAAATGCAGCTTCTGCTCTCTGGAAACAGAAATGTTAGGCCATTTATATCACTGTGGAATGATGTTTTATTAATGGACACTTTGGCTCAAACAGACATTTATCTTATTTTGACATCTTTTTTTTACTTTTCGGACTGAAACTCCTCTGTACAATATATAGTCAACTTATATTTTGCTTGCAAAATTCTTTATTCATAAATTTAAATTAATGAAGAACAAACCTCTTTTCAATGTTTTTAAACTTGAATTAAAAATTAAATAGACTGTATTTCTGGATTAGATGGTATAACCAGCATCAAAATGTATGCAATATTTATCTAAGTTAACTTAAATTAATTTAACTTATATTTACTGTCTGATACTCTGGCTGTGTTCTTTTATGTTGTTTGTAATTTTTATACAGATTATTTGTTACTGTGATATTTGTTTCAATTCTCTATTGGCGGATGTACAGTATATTTATTTATTTTTAGTTTTTATCTTATTTTGTATTGTTTTTTATGAACGCGTGAACTGTAGCCTAACTAAATGATTTTTGTATTACACGTTCAATTTCTTTTTTTCTGCAAATTGTAACAAATGTGATCTGCAATTAAGAAAAAAAAAACGTTGAAAGGTACAGGAAATCGCTGGTTATTCCTATGTGTCCTATATATGTACCCTATGTACATCATATAGTATCTCCAGAGCCTCTCTCTGGTATCTCTATATGATATATATATGGGTTTTCTTTGTTATCGATTTTAAATGTGTCAACTGAACAGGTACACTCTGTTGCTTTGGCTCTGTACAAGGTCCAGTTTGTTTTACATTTAGCCCATCCCATCCTGTCATGTGAATGTGACAGTCTTTTATTGTCAGAATTTCATTGTTTGTTCCACCTCTTCTGCTTAGTGTTTCATGTTATGAAGATCACGAATCTTAACAGCCAAAGTCATGTCTAAGCCTGCACAGGATCCAGTGTATAAAGTGCCAGGTAAGTCTTTCTACGCTCTACTACTATAGTCTCATCTCAGTGTGTTATGTCGTCATCATCTCTCAGGCCTTTAATGTTTTGCCACATGGATGGATACGCATTGTATTTTGTCAAGCCACAACTTTCGTTATTAGAAATTACACTAACACAGAAGTTTGAGCTGATAGATTACACCATCTGTTGTCTAATGATTAGGGATACGTGAAAATAATCAGTTATGTGTATTGCCCATAGGCTAAGCTAGCTAAGGCGTTTATTGTTCCTGAAAAGAAACTGCAGCAATAATTATTTTATTGTGCCAAACCAGTATTCAGTATAGACATTTTATTATTATAATTACTAAAGACGGGGTCTAAAACCTAACTATTCCTTCAAATCTATGAAATCCTGTACTTTAAAAGCTAGTGATGTTCTACAGTAAATCGTCATGGTGGATGGGTCAATGTTAGGGAATATTTAAGGCAACACACACATTCTCTATATTTATGCATTTCATTCAGTTTATGATTAACGTAAGATACAATTGTTCTTTATTTGCTCTGATGTCCTCCAGAACTCTGCACAGTCTAATCATCCACCACATTGTCTATGTCACAGCTCTCATGATTTGTTATGGTGTGATTTTTTTTTTCTCAGCTAACAAAAAACGGCCATCTGCCAGTGGTCTGGAGTTCATTGGTCCTCTTGTGAGCTCTGTAGAGGAGACCCCAGACCCCATCTGTACAGTTATTAAGGGTCAAATTCCCTTCTGGATCACTGGCAGCTTCCTCAGGAATGGACCTGGCAAATTTGAGTTTGGTGAAAGCAAGTAAGAGGGCAAAATATTGCTATTAGCAAGATCAATTTATTTTCCTCTGGTTGTTTTCTTTGCTAATTAGGCTTCTTCTCTTCTTCCTTAGATTCACCCACTGGTTTGATGGCATGGCCTTGATGCATCGTTTCCACATTAAAGATGGTCAGGTGACCTACAGCAGCCGCTTTTTGCGCAGTGACTCTTATGTACAGAACGCAGAGAACAACCGAATTGTGGTGTCTGAATTTGGCACCCTAGCAACACCTGACCCATGCAAGAACTTCTTCGCACGGTTCTTTTCACGTTTCCAGATTCCAAGTAAGCTTCAGTTGGAGGTGAAAGTGGCATCCGTACCTGATCATAAATTTAGACAGAACACTGCAGGCCTATCTATAAAGAAAAGATAAAAAAGTACAAGTACAGGACTTGTCAAAGTTAATTGCAATTACTACAAAACCTTCATCTGAACCCATTCTAATCATCAGTTGTGTTTGATTAACAGAGGCAACTGATAATGCAGGAGTGAGCTTTGTTAAGTACAAAGGAGACTTTTACGTAAGCACAGAGACCAACTTTATGCGCAGAATTGACCCTGTGAGCCTGGAAACCAAAGAGAAGGTATAAATGACAATGTTTCACAGGTACAGAAATTAAATGAGATAAGATGGACAGTGTTTCCTAAAATTAATAATTATCTCTGTGATTATGGTTTTGAAAGGTGGATTGGTCAAAATATATTGCAATTAATGCAGCAACAGCTCATCCACATTATGACAGTGATGGAGCGACTTACAACTTGGGAAACTCATATGACCGTAAAGGTGGGATGGCTCATTTCTGCTTTTTAAAACACAATTAAACTCTAACGTCTCCTGTCAGTTTTCCAGCATCCCTCCAGCAATCCCAACTCCTCACTCTTAACTGTTGCCTATTCCAACCAGGGATGGGGGAAGTACTCCGGCCAAAGAAGGTTTGGGCCAAAATCCGAGCTCTGAGCTCTCCCCTTGGATACACCAAATATGTATACAGCATCACAGTCCCGCCCACAGCTGTGCCGGAAGTAAAAATTCAATATAATTTCTCCATTGACAGTTGGGATATAAACCATTAAAACGTGACCATACATGGTAGAATTAAAACCAGCTACGGCTGTGCTAAGTGATTGTATATGCTCATATAAAGGCCAAAAGTTCATGGGGCATAAACCTTGTTTTAAGATAAATCTCTTTTTTTCGCGATGTATTGGATAAGTACTTCATTAACCACAATCCTGAACAATCCCACAATCCCACAGTGATGCATCTGATTGGTGGAAGTCGTGTAATGTGTCTGAAACCCCGCTAAGGCACGTGAAGACCTGAAGATCGTGTATTGACGTAGGTCTAAGTTCATTGGTCGCACCTCAGAGACGCCCCCGTGCCATTGGATGTGCAGTTGCCGCAGCACAGCCTATGAGCGAGCCAGATGCTCAATGTTTTAGTATGTGGTGCTGCCAATACGTTTTAAATATAAGCTTCAGTCAATCGAGGAAAGGGAGTTTCCCTGCACATTCACTGTATAAAATTGACTGGAGGAAAAAGTTCATGTAGCCGTCTTCAGATTTGGAAGTCACTCAAAAAGCTCTTTCACGGTGGCTTCAGTGAGGCACGGTGGTTTATGAGTAGTTCCTTTGCTCGGAAATGAAAATATGTACACAGGCTTGTACCCTTGACTTATTTTGGGATTTTCTCGAAATGTTGTATGCTAATGAGTTCTGGTTATCTTCAGACATGCTCTAATACTCTTTAGATATGGATTTTACAAAATGTCAATGGGAGAAATTAATGGGAAATTTAATTCCAGCACCAACGCTCTCTCGGGCTGTGGGTAGGACTGTGATGCTCTATACTCTTTCTTTACCATATTGATTTATATGTAAGTGTGAACTCGCAAATGACTGTTTCAAACCAAATGACTCCTCCCATCTGCCAATATTCAAACACATATTCCCACCCCAAACATATGGGCCAATGTTTTGAGAATATTTTAAAAACAAAAAAGGCACTTCACCTTCTATTTCTTTTCTCAAAGGCTTCTTCTATCATATCCTCCGAGTACCACCCGGTGAAGGAACGAACGATGTTGCTGATCTGTCTGGTGCTGAGATTCTTTGCTCTATTCCTGCTTCTAACCCCAGAAAACCATCATACTACCACAGTTTTGGTAAATTTGCCTGCCATATTTGCATTTTTAGATAATATGATCTGCCTTTCTGATTCTTTACCCATCTGTAATATTATAAGAATTATTTTGCATCTATTTACATAGGGTTGGAAATATGGGCCCCACCTTTGTTCCTGGAGATTGTCCAGTGTATTATATTATCCACCAACAAGCAGATGAAAAATAATGAATTTTGCTGTTTGTTCTTTTATTTTGCATTACCGTTTGCAGTCATGTCGGAGAATTACATAGTCTTCATTGAGCAGCCGATCCAGCTAGACCTGCTGAAATTCATGCTGTACAGAGTTGCTGGAAAGAGCTTTAATAAAGTCATGTCCTGGAACCCAGATCTAGACACCATCTTCCATGTGGCAGACAGACGCACTGGCCAGGCAAGGCCGAGTCTATAACAACATCATATTGACATTTGATTGTGGGCACCGTGTATTTCTGCCACTTCGACTCTGTTTATATCCCTGCAGCTCATCAAGACAAAATACTACAGCAGTGCCATGTTCACCCTGCACCAGATTAATGCATATGAGGATAATGGATATTTGATTATGGACATGTGCTGTGGAGATGATGGCAGTGTGATTGGTGACTTCACGATGGAGAACCTTCGTCAGGCATCTGGGGAAGAACTTGACAAGGTAATACCTTCACAATCCAGTACATGACAAACATCGACAATATTGACCTCTTTTTCAGCTTCATAAAAAGTCACTTTAATGCAACGCGTCTATTGGCTTTTCCAGTTCTTCAATTCATTGTGTACAAACTTACCACGACGATATGTACTGCCTCTGGACGTTATGGAAGACGAGCCCAATGACCGCAACCTCATCAAATTGCCGTACACCACTGCCTCTGCTGTGAAGACTGTAACTGGTGTAAGTGCACAAGATGTGGAGAGAAGGGGGGATTGAAAAAAAATTATAATAATAGATATCAATAAAAGTAATTTCTCTGGTGTTCAGGTGTTCCTCACCCATGAAGATCTCTACAACGATGACTTGTTGCAGTACGGTGGTCTTGAGTTTCCACAGATAAACTACACGTACTACAATGCTCGACCTTATCGCTATTTCTATGCCTGTGGCTTTGGACACCTGTTTGGTGACTCTTTGCTTAAGATGGATCTAGAAGGAAAGAAGCTAAAGGTACCATTTTAAATACTTTAATTTGAGATTTATGACAGTTCACTTCAATTGGGAATATAATGTTTGATCTGCTTTGTTGTATGTAGGTGTGGCGCCATGTTGGTTTGTTCCCATCAGAACCAGTGTTCGTTCCAGCACCTGATGCTAAGGATGAGGACGATGGTGTGGTCATGTCTGTGGTCATTACACCAAGAGAGGTGAGTTTCACACACGGTTTTTTAAGTCTGAATATTTTTTTGCGTACGCCATTTTTAGCTTTCGGACGCACGTACACTTTTAGTAAGGATCCTATGCACAGTTTTATAAATGAATTAATTTGTATAAATTAATTTATAAATGACCCCTGAAACCTTTCAGCTGCACACAATTTCGAGATTCACGATTTATAGATTTCACAAATGGAAGAGAGCCGTACATAAAATATATATATATTTATTTATTTATTTTTTGCTTCATTTTCATTTTAAAGTTCATCATAAATTTAAAGTTCATTTTTCTAAATCACATGTATGCGCATTTGAGAAATGATCTTAGATAAAATGTGATCAAATATCACATTTGATCACTCCTGGGCCCTGGAGAGCAAAGGGGCTGAAATTTGTTTAATAATTTTTGTCATACATAAGATGCATAATTTGGTCAAAAAAATTCAATCAAAGAATTCAGTTGTGACAGACGTGATATTGTCATGTAACTCTCTTTAGAAAAAGAGCAGTTTCCTCCTTGTCCTTGATGCCAAGAGCTTCACAGAGCTTGGGCGAGCAGAGGTTCCAGTGGACATCCCATATGGCACTCATGGACTCTTCAATGAGATGAGCTGAAATAGAAAATCACCAGCTCAAATCAACTCATAAGAGTGAAGCCATTCAACAAAATATTTTGCATCTTTTTTGAAAGAGTAATTTCATCCTTTCTTGACCACCACCACCCCCATTCATCTCATCTACACACCTAGGCAAAATACATTTATGAAATGTATGAGCAGCATTATGAGTCAACTATGTAATCTTTATATATATTGTACAAGATTAAAAGGCTTGTATTATATTTTTATTTTCTGTTTAATGAATCTAGATCATGTTATGGTAAAAACTTATTTTTACTTGTATTTTGTAGGCCTACATGTTTTTTGTAACTGACATTAAAGGTCCCGTTCTTCGTGATCCCATGTTTCAAACTTTAGTTAGTGTGTAATGTTGTTTTTAGTCAGAGTATAAATATCTGTAAAATTATAAAGCTCAAAGTTCAATGCCAAGCAAGACATTTTAGTTAACAGAAGTAGCTTACATCGAACGGGCCGTTTGGACTACATCCCTCTACTTCCTTAATGACGTCAGTAGAACAGTTTTTTGACTAATGCTCCCTCAACTCCCTCAACTTGCAAACTTCTTATAACTTACTGTGTTTACTCAGCTCTTACGGTGATTTTCTGAAGTAAAACTGACGCGTCATCTTTTGTGTGATGTACAATAAACTTTATTAAACTCATCAGTATATGTTTTATCATCATTCAGACCTGGTCCGAAACAGCAGACTTGGGCTAGTAAGGATTTGGTATATTTGTTAAGTTATTTGTTTAATAAAGATAGAGTAGGATATAGAATTCTAATAGAATACATATATAATAGTGGATTAAGTGAAAGGGTTAAAATATCGAATAAAGATGCTTTGGTCTATTCCAGATTTTATAGTTCAGTCTGGAGGAGTTGAACACGCAGCGCCAGGTGGGCTATGGGAGATGGAATGAGATGGAGCATCTAATAATTAGATAAGGATGGATATGTGAGAAAGAAGCAAAGAAAATAATAATAACAAGGAATCATAAAAAATCATGACTGTATAACAGCAAAGGTAGGTGGCGATATGCACTAAAGAATGCAAAAAAACAAAAGAAGAAGAAGAATGATCCACTAGGTGGCGGTCGTGCTACACGGAAGTGCTGATTTGATTTCAACTTCAACAAACGGGGGGGAAAAAAATAGAAATAGAGAAATAGAAATTGTTTAAGTTCTGCAAACAACTGGCAACTGTTTCCTTATACAAATTTGCCAAATTTGTCAAACCTGTAAAAAAACTGGATCGAGGAAAGTGTTGCCAGTGATTTCTACGGCTCAAACTTATGGATTTGTGTTTAGACTGAATATTAAGGTAACGTTAATGTCTTTGCCAAGGAACACAAAACTGATCTTCAAACTGTTGGTAAGACCGATTTTGTGTAAACTTAAATTACTATAATTTAACATGTTCAGTTATTTTCTGTTTATTGTTGTATGTTGGTCAATTGTATAGGTTTTCTCTTATATTTATGAATATTAAACTATGCCTGGTGAGGTGTGGTTCTGTGAGGCCAGAGGCCATTGTGCTTCATGTCGTGATATATGCTTTTATTGTCTTTATCTATGTCAGTAACTGTCAGGGTCAAATATGCCCTTTTTCCGTCAACTTGAGCCCACAAGGGAGAGGGAAGGTCAGAAGAAGAAAAAATGCAAGACTAAATGGGCTGATGATGAGGACAAACCTTCCACACTGATTGGCCTTTGTCTTCAAAGCCTAGCTGAGAACATGAAGGAAATGTGGGTTAAAGATTATGCCCAAAAATACATGGACCAGTATTTCTTCAGATACGTCATGGGTCCTTTCAGCTCATTACGTGAGTATTAAAAAGACTTGTGCATGTGTATATGTGTGAGTGAGTGTTTATCAAAGTATTTATCTTATCCGTGTTTCTCTTTCAGCTGGTGAGTTGTTGGACGAGCTGTTGTGCACCCTGTCCTCGCGTAATTTGTTGACACGTGCGGCCCTGCACCTCCTTCTCCTCCCACAGCTGAGCTGTCTGTCCCTCTCATCTGCATGCAGCCTTGTCAATGCCAACCTCTGCTCTCTTATCCAGATACGCTGCCAGGTTAAACACACACACTCCTTCTAACTTGGGTATATTACGTTTTTGCACACAGTTGCACACGCAAACATACAGATGTGCTCACCAAAGTTGCCTTTATTTGGTCAAAAATAGAGTAAAAGGAATATTGTGAAATATTAAAATATTACACCAGTTTACACTGTCACGTGATCCTTCAGAAATAATTTTTATATTTGGGGCTCAAGAAATATTATTAATATTGAAATTTTGAAAACTGTTATGCTTGATATTTTGTGAAAATTGTGATGCATTCATTTCTGGATTATTTGATGAATAGAAAGTTATAAAGAACAGCATTTACTTGAAATTCCTTTTTTTAAAAACATTGTAAAAGTTTTCACTGTCACTTTCGATCAATTTAATGGATCTTTGCTTAATTTTAATAAATAAAGTTTTAATAAATCTAACTGACCCCAAACTTTTGAATAGCAGACGTACAGTATATATTGTGATTAACATAATAAAATAGAGCAATCCCTTATTTCCCCTAACCAGAATGTTTGGGGAATGTTAGTAAAATCCTGCCTTGCAAAAACTGTAAGAATATGCAAACAAATTGTGAATGTTGTTAGTCTTGCCTGACAATACATGCAAAGTTCTTACAATTCTTATTTTCACTCACTTGCCTCTTTCTTGCACAGAATCTTCAGTCTCTGGATCTTAGTGGCGCACAGAATATATCTGCATCAGTGCTGTGTGAGCTCCTAGGCAGCCAACGTCATCTCCGTTTCCTCTCCTTGGCTGGAACTCTTTGTGATCAGAGAGTGATAAGGGTGGTTTGCCGCCAATGCTCCAAGCTGAAACACCTGGATGTGTCACGGTGCCTTCACCTCAGCCCTGCAGGCCTCCTGCCTCTGGCCTACCAAGAACCTCCTGTCATGAATCCAAACACATTCAGCAGTCTGCTTGCATTAGATATCGGTTTAGCAGAAAAAGAGAGAGATGCCATAGCTGCAGTTGCATTTCTCCTGCTAAGCTTGTCTGGTCTTCAGAGGTTGGCAGTGGAGGGACTGGGACAGGCTTGTGTTCTCATACAGAACAGACAGTTTGAGGTGACAGAGGAGTTCACTAGTCGAGAAGGTGTGCCACATCTTAAAGACATGTGGGCAAAGCGGATACAGGAAGGCCATTTGAAAGATAGCAGTTTACTGAGCGCAGATGGAGAGGAGAGTTTTACTTTGGAAGGAAAAATAGATGAATGTTTATCAATAGAGGAGAGTCATGTGGATACTAGTGATACTACAGAGATAAATGAATGGACAGGGACTTCAGGAGAGGGTTATACAAAAGATGGTGGTAGAAGTAGGGATTGTAATGGAAGGGATAGTGTGACAACATCTCTCAAGGATGTACAAGGACTATCTCTGGAAACTTTGGAGGCAGTAGGGAAGATCTGCCCTGACCTGCATGTCCTGTCTTTGGACTGTCTCCAGAGTAATTCTCATAATGCTGACAACTTTGAACAGGCAACCATTTTAGCCAGAGGACTCAGTAGGTTTTCTGGACAGCTACACTGCCTTTCGTTACAGTTTGCTGGTCCTCTGTCTGATTTGGTTCCAGCCCTGAGAGCCTCAGGCTCACACCTGCTCTCGCTCACCTTGGAAGGGATCAGAGCTGATGGACATAATCCTCTTCTGGAGCTCATCCATGCCTGTCCCAGACTCAACTCCCTCACTATTCATTTAGACCCACCCAGCACTAATTTGAATGATGATGATGATGATGAGGAGGAGGGTGAAGACGAAGGCCTGCTTTCTAATCTACCATGCCTTCCACACCTCCACTCTTTAACACTGAAGTAAGTCAAGTGTTGTAATTCTTGCTAAACTTCATGCTGATGCCATTTCCCTTTAAATCAAATGTGCTATACTGCTTGCTTTCCATTCAGTGTTTTTTTTTTTTCCCAACAGTTTTTCGTTGGATGAACGGCAAATGAAGCCTGCGTTGTGTTGGATGTCTCTGAAGGGAGTGCTGTGGGCACTACTTAGGGGTGCTTCACTCCTTCGGAAGCTCTCGCTAATCGCTGTTCCCTGTCGATTGGACCCCGTATTTAGACTTGTCCTAAACCATCCGGCAAAACCCCTCAGGGCCCTAGACAGTCCCCCACTACACTGCCTTAGATCTGTTAGTCTGAACCGCTCAGATATCACTATGGAGACTGTAGTACATATTGTAAACACTTGTAGGCGCTTGTCCCATTTGGATTTGAGTGGCTGCTGGGAAATGACTTTAAACAATATCACAAAGTTACAATGCAAAACCAAAAGGAGGCGCCATACACTGCAAATAACATGGACATGAGCTGGGAAAGAAAAGGACATAGTTGTGCTTTCAGTATCTTTTTTGTGTGATTATTCTATAAAACTGCGATATTGTAGGAAATATGTCTATATAAAATGCATTTAATACAGTTATACATGTACGTAATGAACATCATTCATCAAAGATGCAAGGATAAAATTTTGATGCTCTGTTCATAATTAGATTTATCAATTGTCTTGTCCATTTTCTATCCATATAAGCCCATTATGGCCTTTGAGTTTTAAAATAGTTTACCACATTCTGTTTTTTAAAGGATGAACCAGATTGTTCTTTACATGCTTTGTCAAGGTCTAGAAAAGTGTCATGCACTTTGATATATTTGAATAGTTCTATTTTTATGCAAATATATAAGGATTAGAACAAGGAAAAATCATATTTAAAATGTTTCTGTTGTTTTATCACAAAGCTTTTATGTTGCTGGGAAATGTGTAATAAATGCAATAAAATATTATCTAGAAAAAAAAGATCACATGTACCAATAAAATCTTAAACACTGTAAAAAAATATATTTTCAAGATTTGTTATCACATTTTTTCTTTTGTCAAATCAACTTAAATAATTTATTTAGTTCAGATAACTTATTATTTTGAGTTTTGATGATTAAATTAATCTCCTTCATTGTATTAACTCACTTTTTCCAGTTCAATCAAAATATTTAGAGAAAATATTTAGAGGCTTTGTTCACCACAGACCTAATTTCAGGCGATTTAGCAAAAACCCATTCAAAAATCCCATAGACTTTAGGGCGAGGGAACCGGTAGTGCTAAAAGGCTAACTCACTTCCGCGTTTTGGCCTACAGAGTGACGTCGCAACTTCGGCACTCTATTGGACAACGTACTAGCGCCAACACAGTCCTAGAACAAATCAGCTTACGAGCGTCACGTAACGTCGTTCATAATAATGAGCCAAGCGTTCTACGTATTTTCGTAAATTCGCTGGCGGGAGGAAGAACCCGGGAAGACCTGACAGTGAGAACTAGCTAAAGTTTGAATTGTTATTTACATTCAGGATAGGTATGTCTCGAATACTCAACTGTATAGTAGCAGTTTGTCCAGATATGGGAATAGGGAAAAATGGAAATCTACCATGGCATCCAATAAGACTAAGGTGAGCGAGAAGCCGATCGTTTTTGTTTTTATTCTTCATGTTCTGTTATTGATACAATGATATAAAAAGTGTTATAGTGTTATATTTTCCAGAGCCACGTGTTATGAGTTTCATACTTTAGAACAGCTATTGCAGTTTTTACTCCTATATATCAATGTCGTGACAGCTTTTCAAAATGACTATTCACAAATGAAAACATCTTACAAAGTCATGAAGACAGAATGGTAGTTTATGACTTTACAGGTTGAGTTAGAGCTTGACCTTTGTCCTGCAGAAAAAAAAAACACCTGACATGTTCCTAACCTTTTACACAAAGCAAGCCTCAAAATATATCTCAACCCTTAGCATTGATTCTTCTTTCTTACAATTTTAGTAATGAATTCAAGCACTTTCAGAAGATGACCATGACCCCTTCTGTTGAGGGTAACACAATGCTTTCCTATTTGCCATTCATCTTTTTATTCGTCTTATATTTTATTTGTTCTGAAGTTAGTCAAATCTTTAACACAATCTCAGTATTGCTGTCTTTTGCTTTCCCCCTGTGTGTCATTTGACAGGCAAAAAGAATGTGGTCATCATGGGCAGAAAGACCTGGCTCTCTATTCCTGCACAAAACAGACCCCTAAAGAACAGGATCAACATAGTTCTCAGCCGAGAGCTCAAGTAATCTAAATGCTTGTACTTTATTTCACCTTACAGTAGACTGCTACCACTTATAAGTTAAAAATGTTTTGTATTTTCTATCACTCATTGCACAGGACAGCCCCAGAGGGAGCTCACTACCTTGCTTCAGACTTGAATTCAGCTCTCCATCTGTTAGACAGCTCTGAGGTTGAAAATCAAGTGGACCTGGTTTGGATAATTGGTGGCAGTGCTCTGTACAAGGTTGGTAAAGGACTGATTGCCTACACCAAACACTGATCCCTAAACCTTCCCGTCACTGATAATCCCGTCACTCATTTACTTCTTCTTATATTTCTATTTTTGATTTCCTCCAATTTCATAAAAATGTATTTATATCTGTTTTGCAAAGTAATGCGATATTTCCTAATTTTGGGGTAAAAATTGCTGTTTCATCAGTTATACAGTATGCATGCGACAACATACATACACGCATACATATACACCCACCTATACTTTGTTATATCTCAGTTATAGCTCAGTGTAGTTCAGATCTCTGTATAATCAGTTGTTATGGAAACTGCCTCAAGGCAAAATGCACAAAAGACTCCCTTCCTTCATACTCCTTCCTTTTCATTCTGTTAATATCCTGTACAATGTACATCATACACTGATTGTGAATGTTGTGCTGTGTTCTTTAGGAGGTGATGGAGCGCGCTGGTCCCAGACGTCTTTTTGTAACACGGGTCCTTAAGCAGTTTGACTGTGACACATTTATACCTGATATTAAAATGGACAAGTACAAGCTCCTGTCTGAGTGAGTGTTTATACAATTGTTTAAAGGCTTACATTGAGCTATTTAATACATGGAGAGAGGTTAGGATTGCAGTTCATAAAAAGAAAAAAATGTTTAACCATTCACCTAAGCCATAAATGCCACATGATTAATTTCTCTAGAGCTGCTTTGAAGTCTTTCATTAGCAACTAATTTGTTGGTGTATGCTGTGATGTCATGGATAGCAGGCAAGGAAAAATACACAGAACCCTGCCATTCAAGAGTTTGGGTTCAGTAAGGTTGGTGTTTTTTTAATAAATTATTACTTTTATTCAGCAAGGATGCATTAAATTGATAAAGAACAACAACAAAAATTATATATGGTAAAGACATTTATAATGATTTATGTTTTAAATTACTATTCTTTTAACCTTTCTAGTCAAAGAATCCTGTAAAAAAATATCACAAATTATACTACCAAATTGTTAAAGCAGCACAACTGTTTTTAACATTAATCATAATTTTAAATATTTCTTGAGTACCAAATCAGCACATTAGAATGATTTCTGAAGGATCATGTGACACTGAAGACTGGAGTAATGATGCTGAAAATTCAGCTTTCGAATCACAGGAATACATTATATTTTAAAACGTATTCAAGTAGAAAATGATTATTTTAAATTGTAATATTATTTAACATTATTATTTGAACTGTATTTTTGAACAAATAAATGCTGTCTTATTAAGCATAAAAGACTTCTTTCAAAAACATTTAAAGAATCATACTGACCCCAAACTTTTGAATGGCTTTTAAGAGTATGGCACTTTTTCTTGCATGATTTGAACTGAGGTGGACCAATGCACACACACACACACTGTTTTTCCTCTTTGAACAATGTTGCAAACAATTTGTGTCATAATGATTTTTAGGAGCGATATTATGTGTTAAACTTCAAAAAGGCCGTTTGCTAATGAAACACTTTCATATAAAGTACAACCTTTTTATACATGTTTAGGAGTATTTGTCTTGTCGTATCCTTGAATAACGTAGATGGATGTATTGGCTCTGGAACAGACATGCTGTATTGTGTATCCAGAGAGAATAGTGAAGAGAATTGCATCAATGAGGAGAAAAAGCTCTCTTGTTATGTAAAAATGGCATCTAGCATCAAAGGTGGATTGCATCAAATGTCACGTCTCTCAGGCTCACAGTAAGCATTTAAAGAGAAGTTAAATCCACACAGGATGTTGATCGCTGTCAATTCATCTGACAAGGAGCAAAATGGATTTTGTTCTTCTCAAATTCATTTGATTATTTTCAGCAGTTAATTGGAAGTTAACAAGAATCTATACCATCCAAGTAGATGAAAGTTGATCTGTTTAAGGCTATGTTGTGTTGTGCATGTTATGCAATTGTGTTGTGTCCATATTATGTTTTGTTTTAAAGGTTTTCTTTCCTTATGTTCTTAGTTGCAATGCATGTGTGTAAAATCAGTCTTGACTTAAAAAGTTGAAAATGTCTTATTGCTCCTTCTGTTTCTTTTTTCTTGTTTACTTCTGGACAGATTCCCAGGTGTACCCACCGGCATACAGGACGAGAATGGCGTTCAGTATGTGTTCGAAGTGTATGAGAGTACCGACCACTGAGAAGAAAATCTTTTAAGTAGGGAGACGTGGACTCAGACATGATGCGTGATGTAGGAGTTTTCATGTAAATTATGCTTGTAATTTCCTGACCCCTTCACCCCTTCTTCTCTCTTTCACTTCATATCTCATGTCCACTTTCCTTTTTAATTAAAATATCAAAAGCCCAAAATATGTTATGATTCCAAGACAATTAAAAGATATGATGTTGAAATTTTATGTGTGGGCTTAGCAGTTTTATATACAAAGTGAAAAGTTGACAGAAAATCATGGGAAGAAAGAGGGTGAAGGGCAAAAGAGGGATACAATCAGGCAGATTCACTCTCCAATGAGCACAGTAGCTCAACATGTTGCTTCTTAATGATTCATATGGGGTTGGAGAATGAATCTGAAGAGCCTGGTGTTGGACCACAATAATGCTGTAGGGCATCGTTTCTAAAATCCGGTCCTGTAGGGCTCTGCTGAGTTTAGTTCCAACTCCAATCAAACACACCTAAACAAGCTAGTCCAGGGCTGTGTACCAATTCAAAGGCTGCATTCTTCGAAGGACTCGGACTTCAAAGGCATTCCTTTGATGGCCGCTAAGGTCTGACTGTTGTTAAATGGGACGCTCTAGCCTACGGAAAACTGTTCTTGTCTCCTAGCAACTGACAACTGCCGTTGAAGAACGGCTGTAACATTTACTGGACCTAAGTTATATCCAACTGCCTTAAAACAAATCAAGGTTCACAACCTGTCTAAATGTTCGCCTTTGTCCATTTATGTACATAAAAATGTGTGTAAATATGTCAAATCGCTTCTTGGTAAGATATGTCAATATTTGAGTTGGTTTATATAAGGGTAAATTCAGGTTGTTTGGGACACTTTTTGCCATTGAGATGAGTGGGGAAAGTGTCCCAATCAACCCGACTTTACACCTATATGTTTTTATTTTTACATTCGTATCATTAGATTAGTCGAGTAAGTAGAACCCAACCCAAAGCTAAAATTTTAAAGCATAATCAGGCAATTTCTCTACCAAAAAATCCTGCCGCTACTGGTGTGTAATGAGTTCCGGGGTATGTGAGGCCGATAAGGGTCCATGTGTTGTATTGATCATTTCCAGCGAGGCCATTTTGAGGCCTCAATTGAAGGCGCCTTCGTCGCACATTGGTGACGTGATCAGTCTTCGAATTGCGGCCTTTCATCGATGCAGCCTTGGAATTAGGACACAGCAAAGGTCTTCAGTTACTAGGAAATTGCAGGTAAGTGAGTTTCAAGTTTATGTCAATGTTTATTGGATGTTGATTGTTATAGTTACTGTCATGCATGAAATATTATATATTATATCATATCTTTACCCTGCATACCATAGCTCTCGATACACCACAAAGACTGGGTGTCCTGGTCACACAGAAATGAGTCAGAAAGACCCACACCAAATATTTGTCCTCTTTTGAACTCTGATATGTCTCTCATTGTGTGAATTGCAATATTTTGTGTACAGATGTGCTATTGCTAATTCTACCTTTACGCTCTGCTCTTATTGATGGAATGTAAAATCTGAAGATTGGCCACCAGTCAATACAGTAAGTCATCTCTATCAGGTTTTGTTTCTTGGCTATAATTTTAGATATTCAGAAAACAATATACCTAAATTTGATAGTAAATTGTCTTTTCCACATCTGCTATCAACTTAATTATTCTTCATCTTGCCAACTGCAAAAGACAACCTGCTCATCTCCATATCCAATAGCAACTGAAGTGTTTGCTATTACGCTAGTCTGAAGATCTGACTGCTTCATGCATATGCATGTTGTGTTTCATCCTCAGACTGGCTGATTGACAATAGTTCAGAGAAGAGTCACAATACTAAAGCTTTCAGACTCACCCACAAACTCCTTCATGACCCCCATTTTAAAAAGCCAAATGCTGCAATCAGGCACAACCTTTTTAAGCTGATTGTTTTTGATATGTCAGCCTAATGTACCACGCGTGTTTACGGACCGGCTGAAATAAACCTGACTGGAATTCCAATTACCCAGCACATGTCATGCACCTTAAGTAGCACTTAGATATATTTTCAGAGTACAAACAAGTATCTAGAGACTTGATAAGGGTTTGCACTTCATAAGCTTATTCAAGTTACCATTTTTAGATTAAAAGGTAATAGAGAAGGCTCTTAATGGAGGGCTGTTTAATTTGTCTTTTTATTATCAATTGAACTTTTTTTCCCATTTTTAATCCATTGGGAGTCTTATTATTGGCCCTTCATTGCCATCATTGCAGTTTTATAAATAGTGACAGCATCACTCAAACAGATCAATACACTCACAGGAGCAACTGCTGCCTCAAAGGCGAGACAGTTGTGTCATAATGATGTAATTGCACAATAGGTGCCATCATCGTGCGATCATGTTGACATCAGAGTTAGGAACAAATGAGGATCTGCGTACAACCTCTGCATACGAGTTCAATAACTCCTTCGCAATGTGAGAATAATGGAGCTATCACTTACTGACGCTGGATGTGCTGGGACTGGCGTCACTTTGCTCTATTAAGCTTGACTGTCCTCCTGATACACAGGGACTTGGTCTATGGTGAGCTTGGCTGAGCACAGGCACTTGTTCTCTTTCTCTCTCCTATATCTATGCCACTCTTTGATTCACCTTCAGTGAGTGCACATCTCCACATGCTCATCTCCCTCTTCAAGCTCCAGCTTTAGTCTCACCCCAGGATTACTCATCCATTTACAAAGATGACATGCCACAGGAACAAGCTATTGGAAATCTAGAGCAGTGATTGGTTCATACGAGGTAAGGACATCATTTGATCTCCTTTAAAAACATGCATACTTTTTTTAAAAATAAAATACAAATCTTTTTATGCTGTATAATGACATTTTTATGTGTTAAGTTAATATGAAGGATTTCTTGCAGACTTTTTTAAATTTGTGATGCTGTTGGTCTTACGGTATGATGTGAGTGGATATAGCTTTTTTATTGGTGTTGACCTTGGATCTGTTCTATAAAAATAAGAGTAAAATAGTTCACACGAAATAGCATCTTTAGATAATAATACAGATGATTTTGGAAAAAATGGACATTGTTTGTGTAAAATATACACATAGACACATATATGTGTAAAAACATCAACAATGTCCGTTGTTTCTGAAAATCATCTCTATTATCATATATTGGATTTCAAGTAAGGTTCATTTACGTTTAATTAAACAATTTTTTTTTATATAAAATGATTAAGCAAAAACTATTTATGTAGGCCTACATATATATTAACTGAAGTTCACATATTAAATACACATGATTGGTTATAAAATTACATCTATTTTAAAACAATCTTATATTACAGTACAAATGTAGTTTAAATGAAATATAAACAAATCAGCTTTAAATACGTCATGCAAATAATTAATTTCCGAATTAACCAACAAAAGAAAATGCTAAGTAAAGGGACTACTGTTTGCTGCTTTCACTGTTTAGCATAATGAATCTCTATGGACTAATGTATCTTTATATCAGCTGAGGAAGCTCATAATTTATTCTTCTGGCAAATCTCGAAAGCACATTATACCCTCATTAATCAAGACACACGAAAACTATTCTTATCCACTTATCAGTTGATGTCACAGAGAGTGCGTTTTCATTTTCCCTGCAGGTGTTTTGAGGGGGACAAATTCAGCCCACCATTTGCGAGGAGAATTAAGCATTGCGTGATCTGGCATGAATCAGATGCACACAGGTGCGTGGAGTGGTCTGTTTGGTGCTCCACTTCAGCACTGCTCCTGCAACAATCGCCACCCTCATCTGTTTTGGGCCTCATTTGCTCCATGCTTTTTAGCACGAGGCAGCAACAGAGGGAGAGAGGCCTGTCATTAAAAATTCTCTCTGTTCCCAAGGGCGATTGAAGACTAGGGGAATGGCACACAAAGCTGTGGTTTTAAATGCCAGCCCAGGGAGCTGTAGGAATTAGCAGCTTGAACCGAGATGTCCTGCAGGCATCAGGCGGTGTGCTTGTATCAGACCAATCAAGACTTTAGCCTGTCTGTTACAACTTGATTTCAAAAGCCAAACTGTCAGGACAAAGTGGTTTATTAGCATAATAAACATCACACGCAAAGAAAGAAAGAGATGAGGAGGCTCTAGTTCAGGAAAGGCAGACATAATTAAAGCTATTAAAGTTAGGTATAAAAGTCTTATAATCTCCATGTGTGTGTTTTTAAAGAAAACATTCATCCACGGTGCTGACGCACTCTCTAATAGAGCATTTATTACATGCAGCTTTCACTGCTAAGTAAAGCTACCATGAGAGTGTCAGCCCATGTTTTCATCCTTTTCATTTTGTTGGAGGACACAAAAAGATTAATTTTCTTACTCATCTTACCTCAACTCAAGTGAATTCACATTTATAAACCTGAGTGAGGCAGTCTCTCGCTCGCTGTTTGTTAAATAAAGAGTGCACTGCAACTGCACTTTGAGTTAAGAGAACAAGGCCACATGCACAATAGACTTTATAAAGGAATGTCTTCATTCTGTGTGGCAAATACAGATTGCCTCAAGCTATTGAATTTCAACCTACTGACAAAAACACTGCTGTTGCTCTTATAAGAACAGACTGTACTTAAAGGGATAGTTAACCCAAAACTAAAAAGAAACTGTCACCATGTCACGCTCAAGTTGTTCCAAACCTGTATGAGTTACTTTCTTCTCTTGAACATGTATAAGATATTTATTCAATGTTGATAAACAACACGTCCAATACCAAAAGAATGTAGGTAAACAAACAGTTAATGGCCCTATTGACCTATAGTATTTTTTTTTTCATATTATATGGATGTCAATGGGGCCCATCAACTGTTTGGTTTCCATTATTCTTCAAAATATATTCAGTTTTGTGTTCAGCAGAAGAGATATTCATACAGGTTTGGAACAACTTGAGACTGAGTAAATTATTTATTTTTGGGGTGAACTGTCCCTTTAAGACATCACGTATACTACATATGCTAATTTAAAAGTACACGAAAGCACTGTTCTCTCTTTAAATCAAGGTTACAGAAATGCACTTAGTGAAGTTATAATAATAATAATAAAACCTTTATTTAACCAGGTGAGCACATTGAGAACACATTCTCATTTACAATGGCGACCTGGCCAAAAAAGCGTCGAGGTACAAAAACAGAAGTTACACATAAAATTACAAGACAAAGTAGTATTCAATTAACATAGAAGATTAAGAAGTTCACAATGTCATTTCGAGAGGAGTGAACCCATCTAATCTTTCAATTAACTGCCGGAGCTCTTACGTATATTATGTGCATATAATCACCTTGCTCTGGCATCAGCTGTTTTGGCATCCCTCCACCTCCCCAACCAACATAATTTAGGCATCTTGCTACCACTTATCATTCAAGCATTAGTAGTCCCACCGGCGGGGTAACTAAGCTCGAGTTGAAGCTGCTTCCTCGAACCCCTCAACTGTGGACAGCAAGCCAAATACGCTTAACCTTAGGCCTTATTCACGGCAGCGCCATCTTTGATTTTTAATGAGAATGAAAGCGAGGCTGTGAGGGATAGACATGCATCTCTTCAATGGGCTGTACTGATATTTAATGTGTTTTCGGATTGTTCTGCTCATGAAACACTGGAAAAATATCTTTCCAAGAAATTTCAGTTGACAAAAAACTCCCGACAATGCAAGTTGTGGAAAATTGTAAGTAATCTAGGAGCTTTATTCAGCTTTTTACAGCGGATGCCTTTGGAAACACAGTAAGTCTATCCCTCACAGCCTCATTTTCATAACTGTCATGGCGCTGCTCTGAATAAGGTCTATTAGCTTAAAGATTATATGGGCAAAAGAACTTGTGAAGAAGTAAATAGGGCTGGTTTTTAGAAGATTTATAAAAACACATACATTGATCCTTCTGTTAAACCACATTATAATTGTTGCTGAACTGTAAAGTGTTTTAAGTGTTATGTTGTCAGGGCAATGAAATAAAATATAATGTGACTCTGGCTGAGTAAAAGTTTACAAATTGGCCCCACTTACTTGTGATTAAATCAGATCTTTGTTCTTTAAAGAAAAGGAGGCACAGGTTGGCATTAATTATTCTGTTTATCACCATAATGTTAACAGCGCGGTTGATTGAGTTTAACTTTTATTAACAGACTATGCTGCATAATAGCAGGTAAAAATTTTAAAAAATATATAATAGAACGAGTAATTCATATTATGTAATGAGGATTAGATAACTAATTCAGTTTTCTTATGTCTTCTTGTCAAGTACTACCTAGACACGCCACCTACCTAGTCATCATAACAAACATCTTCACATTAGTGTCTACCCGATGAATGGCCAGAGGCACTAGATTAGAGCAGGAAACCTCTCTGGCATATTCTTCTGAGGCCAAGAGGGAGAGCACATTTCAATGTCAAAGAGACATCAGGTTTGCTTTGATGCGAATGAATTGGATAAAAAGCAGACACTTAAGTGAAAACCTTGAAAAAACTCTGGTTCTGATAAAGTATGCTCTCTTTCTCTTCCCTGACAGAAGCCAATAAAGAAATCAGCTCCTATGACCCACTGAGCCAACTCGACATTAGCCTGTCAACGGTCACACCACCACATAATCATGGAGGACTCAACAGAGGTGCGCACGGGTGGAAACTCTTTGCTGAAAGCAGTGTATCTGTGCCGCCTGAGGTTGACGCGCCTGCTGCTGGAAGGAGGGGCTTACATTAATGAAAGCAATGAGAGGGGAGAAACTCCACTGATGGTGGCCTGCAAAAGTCACCATGCAGATGCTCAGAGTGTGCCAAAACCCAAGATCATCAGGTGGGTCATCAGTTGATTAGCTGATTGTACAATAAAACTTAGATATTAGTTGTTGGGTTTTTTTTTAAAGTACATAAAAATTCAGTTCATACACCTTTGAAGATTTTACCTTTGAAGACATAAAACATAAATTTGCTATTTTTAAAACATAATTAGCTATTTTTGATCAAATAAATCTAGCTTTGGAGAGCATTAGACTTCTTTTAAAACATCTTCCTTACCCTAATTTTTTGGATAAGATGTGTACACTTTTTACTTGATGGTAATACCACGAGTAATCAAATCCAATGTTGAGGTTTTTTTAAAAAAAATCATACGAGTATACCAATAATAGGATATATCTTGGTACATATGTTTTATATTATTTAGTATTTACAAGATTGATTCTTTTTATTGTGGACACTCTGATTGACTTGCTCATTTATCCCTTCCTCTATGAGCTCACTCTATTGAATCAATCTTCTTCTCAACAGGTATCTTCTTGAAAATGGTGCAGACCCCAACATTCAGGATAAGTCTGGTAAGACAGCTCTAATGCATGCCTGCATAGAGCGGGCGGGAGATGAGGTGCTGTCGCTTCTGCTCTCCAGTGGAGCTGACCCTAGTTTAGAGGACCACAATGGTTCCTCTGCTCTGGTCTACGCAGTTAACGCTGGAGACAAAGATGCACTGAGAGTACTACTAGACGCCTGCAAGGCCAAGGGCAAAGAAGTCATCATCATTACAACAGACAAGCTACCCTCTGGAAGACAAATGACCAAGCAGTATCTGAACGTTCCACCACCTCCAAATCTTGAGGACCGGTTGCACTGTGCCTCTGCGTCATGTATGTGCCCCTCTGAAATTAACCTTTTTACCCCGCATATCTCACCTCCCACCAACAACCAATCTGAGACCCTGGGATCCACTCCAACGCTTCCCACGTCCAAGCCAGGATCACCGACTCAAGATTCAAGCCCTCTGCAAGCGGCTAGTGTGGTGAAGCTTCTGCATCTACAGAGGCTTAACTCAGAGCCCTGGCTGAAGATCCCTCCTTCTCTGCTCCTAGAGCAAAGCAAGTCCTCATCCTTGACCGAGGAGCTTCTAGATATCACCCCCGAAGAGGAGCTCTCGTTTGGGTACAATGGTTGCAGACCTCTACTGAGAGCGACGGTAGCTCGTCACCAAAGCATTGAAGTCAAAGACTCTGCTGGTCTGCTTAGAGCCTTTGAGACAACACCTGAAAGAGAACTAACAAAAGAACAGAAATGGCTCAGTAGAAAAATGTCCTACGATGGTGAGTTGTTACCGCACTCTTCCTCACATCAGAACCTCAAGCAGGCATCCATCTCAGACACTGCACCTGTGGACCGGGGCCCAGACTGTCTTCCCAACCTGGCTGTTTCAAGCCTGCGCAATGTGTTTCGTCGCCGCAACTTCGGAATGGACCACTACAGTTCTGACTCTCAGTTGCCTCAATTTGGGAGCCAACCCTCTGAAGACCTTGGGAAGACTGGAGGAGGAGGAGGAACTGGGGGAACGGAGAAACGCAAGCTTGTTACCAGCCGCTCCTCCACTCTCTCTGGATCCAGAGAGTCTCTGGAGAGTGTTGTTCAGAGGAGGAGCCCGGCAATGCTGGAGAGGAGGGGATCTGGAGCCCTACTCCTAGACCATATCTCACAAACCCGCCCTGGTTATCTACCACCTCTTAATCCACATGCACCCATTCCAGATATCAAAGTCAACACCAGTGTTGGAGTCAACAGTGGAGGCAAGCCTGTGGCAGGAACTTCACCCATTGTTCCTGGATTGAGGCATTTTGTCCCCATTGCCCCGAGCCATCCCAGAGATCTCAAGAACAAGAAGAGTCTGTTAAGACGACACTCCATGCAAACTGAGCAGATCAAGCAGCTGGTCAATTTTGAGGAAATCTTTGGTCAGTAAACATCACAGAGGAAATTTGTGGTAAATATAGAAATTTCATTTGTCAAAGTTTGAAATCTGAACAGAATACATTTTAAATATGAATCATAACAAACATAAACCACACTAAAATGCACTTTCCAGACTGGACAGGGGTAATATGTTTATTTTGACTATTGTAAACTTTACTGCACTTTACTGGTGCCATTTTTACTCTCTCATTAGTGCACTTAATCAGAATACTGAAACGCTGCTGTTCAATGTACTGCTGGTTCTTAAAAACTGATTCATGCCTGCAATGTCTTTGTAGTTACAAGTTCAAAATTGTGACTTGTATTTATCCATTGACAAAATAAATGCAGCATAAAACAATACTTTCAATTTGTTGCGGCTATATATATATATATAAAGGATTATTAGTAACACCTGTTCAATTTCTCATAAATGCAATTAGGGTTATGCATTTAGGGGTGTGGTCCTGGTGAAGACAGTCTCCTGAACTCCAAACTGAATGTCATAATGGGAAAGAAAGGTTTCTTGCATATATCATTGTTTTACACCAATATTCAAAACTCTAGAGTCAGTCATATATTAATTTGTTTTTAAAATAAATACTTTTCTTTTGAACTTTCTATTCATCATAGAATACTGAAAAATGTATCACAGTTGCCACTAAAAAATATTAAATCAGCAGTTTCCACTTGTGAAATGTTACTTGAGCACCAAATCAGCATATTACAATGATTTCTGAAGGAATATGTGACACTGAAGACTGGAATAATGATGCTGAACATTCTTTGCTTCACATGAATACATTTTATATTAAAGAAGAAAACATTAATTTTACACTGTAATAATATTTTACAAGATAACTGTTTTACTGTATCTTTGATACAATCAAATTCAAATAACGTTAGTCTTGGTGAGCATTACAAACTTCTTTTAAAATAAATCTTTCTGACCACAAACTTTTGAATGGTAGTGCAGACTAATAAAGGATAAGCATTTCTCCCCATACTTTTAATTTGTAAAATATTACAAAATACAAATGTAGATTACAAAAATATAGTATTTTTCTTTCCCTTTGTACATTGTGTATAATGGATCCACTGGAGGCAATTTGTAGATAGACCCCAAGTGCAGTTTTATATTAAAATAAAACAAACAAAAGCATGACGTGGCATGAAATAAACAATGGTCACAGAAAACAATACTTGACGGCTCTTATGGCAAACAAGAGGGCTCAAATACACAGACTAATGACAAGACAAGGGACACCTGTGAACAATGACAGAAGATTAACCGATGATTAACGATTAAACCAAATCATACCCATTTCAGAATGACCAAACTAGCATTTGCAATGCTGTGCGATGAAATTGGTCAGTCCTGGTAAGTTTTTTGTTGAATATCAAGGAATTTAGTCTGTAAGTGGGTATCCATCATAGTTTGAGCATGTCTTCTTATCGGATTAAAAATGTATCCGCCTCAATTGAGTGTATGTTTTTTTATGCAATTTTTTTAATTTATGCTGCTCATCTTGGTTTTTCCATCCAACATTTTGTTTATGTGATATACCAAAACAGGTATAAAAGTAGGTGAATGGAAGCATAGCTAATGTCAGTAATATTAATTGCTTTTTTAGGAGTAGCCAGGTAGTCCTTTAAACTGTTTGAACTGTGATTCTAACAGATCATAATAGATCCTGGTTTTGCTGAAGTTTTGCCTGTAGGGCAACAGGTCTTCCACATTAAGAACATCATCCTTGCCTGTCCATACAGTCAGGCTGTACCTTAGAGAGAGAAGAAAAGAAGGTGTTAAACAGAATCATATTAAGGCTGCCATTAAGGCAAAGCTTAATCATCTTCACCAGTGAATATAAATGTATGAATGATGCTTTTAATTTGACATCTTAATATTAAAGTGTCAATTAATCCAAAGCAATTAGCATTGTGCTTTTAAGGAACTTGTTTTTTTTTTCACACAAGGAACTATGCTTTTTACTTCCCCTTAACTTGTTCTGAGTGACTGCAATCACCCTCAATATCTAACTTAAGAGAGGGAGATGACTGCTGAAGAAGAGCACTATCTCTGTAGAGGAGGCTTAAACCTTCCCTTCACATCCCGTAATACCTCAACACCGTCCTTTAGATAGGAGGGTGTTTCTATTCTAGTCACAAACAAGTGTAATAGATGGCCCAGAACCAAATTATCCAGCAAGAAATTACAAAGCATTAGGATGAATCTCATTGTGTCTTTGCTTATATAATATGAATCAATCTCCAAGGTAATAAAAAGACTCCTTCACACAGATGTGTGGCTTAATAGCATCTATAACAGTAAATCTGGACATACATTTAAATAGACTGATTAATTTCTCACCGGTCTGAACGCTCTAAAAGCCACTGGAACTGTTGGAAGGACAGAGGAAGGAGAGCTGCACGGACTGGAAATGTGACCGGTTGCTTTAGGGATCTGCATAATTCTTCCATCTGATGAACCATCTCCCAGCTATAGCCTATTTCCCAGAACAACACAAACACAGAAAGCAAATAACTAATCAAGGTCTAAATTATAATTAAAAAATTCATAAGGAAGTCAAAGCAAAAGGATGGGAGCAAAGTAAAGAAAGTCCATAAGATTTTTTCATGTTTTTTAAAGAAGTCTCCTTTGCTTACTAATGCTTCATTCATTTGATCAAAAATACAGTAAAATAAACCTCAAGTCATATTTTGAAATATTATTACAATTAAAAAGTTAAAATTGTTTAAAAATTTATTAAATTTTTTTAAATAAAATAGTTGTAGTGTTTAAAGTCCCCGTAAAGTCAACATTAAGTATGTGTTCTGAGTTTGTCACACCACAGAAAAATTTGTAATTAACCACCCAGCCAAATTTGAATGATAAAAAAAAAAATGAGCAGATTCTCTGCTCTCAAACGCTGGGGGCGTGTCCGCTGGCTGTGCTGAAACCACGCCCACTCACGGGAAAGCTGACGGTGATATTAGCTGATTAGCTTTTGGAGACGGGAGGATGAACACTGAGGCGGGAGATCGTCGTTTCGGCCCCGTTCACCAGTAACAGCGGATTATCAGTGAATTATCAGTGAATCCTCTTCATCAAGGTAACGTTAGGCTCTCTAAAAACCTCTTCTTGATGTGATCGTTTTTAAGGGAATTTAAATGAAGATACCGATCTGTTTTGTATATGATCGCATCCAGGTAGTAACCCATGCATGTCCGTGTCGAAGGCATAGCTAGCTAGAAAACTGTAGGCTCAGCTGTGGTAACTAATAGTACTGACAGTCACTCGCGATTGAGCGGTGAATGCGAATGTGCTCGGGGAGTGTGTGTGGACTGTGGAGAGAGGGAGATCAGACTCTGTGCGTCATCAAATAGGGGGGTGTCCAGCAGCTCATGGGTTCCAGTGCGTCACGGAGCCCTGTTTTAGCCCCGCCCAATTAATCCGTAAAATTGCAATGGTGAAAAACTGTTTAACGGTCTAAGTCCACATTTCAGTACTTCACAGTTCACAGACTGTGCAATATGTTTTAGCAATACATATGTAACATTTATAATGTGTTTAGAACTTTTTTGTAGAATTGACTTTACAGGGACTTTAATATTTTTGTTTAACCTTTGATTTCAGGGATTTTTCTGTGATGAATATAAATTTCAAAAGAACAGCATTTATTTGATTTGGAATTATTTGATATATTATAAATGCTTTTACTGTCACTTTTGATCAATTTAATGCATCATTTTGAATATAGCCAAAGTCTCTTACTTTCTTCAAAAAACAAGGTCCAATAGCCTCAAATTCAAGGACTTAATGTGGGGACACGTTTGTTGTTCGTTGAGGTACCATTGTAGTTGTTTCGTGCGCGCGTGAACTACAAGTACCTCATGCGGGAAACACACGCAACAACGTAAATGCGCGTAATTAATGTAAATCAAACTAGCTAGTATGCATAGGCCATGAAGTGTTGGCGAAATACCCTTTCATCCGAACGCAGGGAATAATATGGATTTTATACAGAAAACTTCCTGCATAAATCCAAGCACTTTTAAGGACTTGTATCTATGTGTGTTTACTTTCCAAAACTTTGCAGGGCCTTGATTTTTTTTTTTAAATTCACAAACTTTCAAGGATTTCAAGGACCCGTGGGAACCCTGCTAAAAACAAAACTTAAAAGCTTTTCACCTTAGTGTAATAACAATCTTCTTACCACGATTGTATACGTCTGCATCCCATCCAGTGGTCCAACCCAAAGAGAGAACATCATTTTCTGATCTTCGAGCCACTTCCTGTAGAAAAACATGAGGGTCCAAAGGGGTGGCTTTGCCACCAGGGCCAGGAAGGACATCAGCATTGATCCACACGGGTCCCTGCAGCTGATCTCGGACCTCCTCGAGTAGAATCATGGATTGGGATACAGCTGCGAGACTGTGAATCAAAATGACAAGTTGATCTGCTACTCATTCATATAAGCAACAAGGTCATTGTGGGAGAAATCAATCCAAACAAGCACTATGACTACTGTCAAAATAAGCAGTATTAAAATCTAAGAATAAAAACTTTAAATAAGGAAAAAATCACCTTTTGAAGTCCAATTTTATTCCTTTGTCTGATTTCACAACTTCTTTAAGCCAGTCCTGTAGAGTTATATCACTGTCATTGTCAGGCGGGTGAGCCATAATGGGTTCTTTTGGATCTTGACCCCTGAGAAGAACATCTGCTTCAATCATCTGTGCAGAACCTCAAAAAAGAACAAAGACAAGAGTGAGAAAACATTATCACAGTGATCATGGCGTGGTCATTAGAAAAGCATGTAATGTATACTCACCTCCAAGAGCCTCTATGAGTTTGCTCTTGCTGTTTACTGCATGATACCACTCAATATCAGCAGCATCTTTTCTTTTTATCACCCCCTTGTTGAGGAAATATTCCAGTGTGTGTTCACTCATTGATCCTGCGACTATACAACATTACCAAGTTTAGTCCTAGTGAATTTACACAGATTATTATTTATTTATTTATATATATTATTATTAAATATTTATTTATTTATTTGAAACCAATGCATTGACATTATCCGATTAGACAGCTAACAAGTTAGCTTTCTTACCTTTCGAGTTTGACAGTGTCTGTAATTTGAGGTAGCAAACGAACAAAGATGCGATGACCGTGGCACATAAGATAAAACGGTACCATTTATGTCTAACCAAACCCATGTATTGTATTGTGCCCATGCATCTTTTTTGCGAACATAACATTAGCATTACATTACATTACATTCATAGACGGATTACATTACATTACGACAGCTACTACTTTCGAACATTACGGAAACCGGTAGCATAATGCATTATGGGATATGTAGTTATTCAGTCCTCTGCACATCCGTGCACATCGCGCTTGCGATGGTTTGGTTATTATTATCAATTAATCATTATTAGTAATATTAATGAAGATTAAATACATGTAATGTGACTGTCAAATCTAGCAAAAAATATTTTAGAAGTAAAAAAATGTAAATACTGATAATGTAAATATCATTTTAACACAGTTATGGCAAAATATTGTTGAAATGTATGATTTATAAAAACTTAAATTAAGAAATGTATACACAGGCACTTTTAATCTACAAACAATAATTGCAAGCATAGCTGTTGGATCAAGAAGCTAATTGAAAAGCATACATTCAATCAATTTTGATTTACTAAAAAAATGTTTTGTTTCACCTTTGTTTCGCTGTCAATACAAAAATGAAAGATTGGTAGCAGTTTTTGTTAGCAATGTCATTTTGTTCAGGATTTTTGTTTGTTGGCTTTTGATGCATGGATGCTATCAACTCTTATTTTATTGCAAGTTTGCAGTTAGAATTGTGGGTAATTTTGGTTCTGTTGTCCTAGGTTATTCTGAGTTACCTGCTGTCCTAGTTTATCCTAGATAATAGTATGCCTATAATATGAAGATAATGCAGGCATTTTTACTTTCGAAAAAATACAACATGAAACTTCCTTCTTTTTTTATTCTTTTAAACATCTTTATTGTCAGGTTTATTTTCTCTAATTTCGGTGGATTTGGAGATCTGCTCATCATCAGCTGTTGTAGGGCTGTCAGGGACAGTGAGGTGTTCTGATCCATGGCTACCATCTCCTTCTCTGCTCCATTCAGTCTCCTCAGAAGCCTCTGTTTTTGTTTTTCTGTCTTTGTGTGAGGGTTCCAGATCCTCTAGCTGCATCTGGAGACGTTTTTCCAAGTCTTCAGTGTTTCGTACCAACATGTAGCTCACCTTCCTCTGATGTGCCAAGGCCTCTTCTTTGTCATTTAACTGAAGGAGGAAGATAACTTAAAATGAGTAAACTCAAAATATAATGGTAATGTGTATATATAGTATACTGACCAGATCAAGCAGCAAATGCAGTGTTTCATTTGAATCGGCTGTTATCTTTTCTTCGCTTGTTGTGGGCAGAAATCTTTTCAGTCTTTCGCCTACACTGAGAGACCCTCTCTTCCCTTTAAAAAAAAAAAAAAAAAAAAGAATTACTGGAAATAAAAAGAATCCCATTGTAAAATTACAGCAATGTGCCCCATGGCACTACCATTACCTGAATAATACTATTTAATTTAAAAAAAAAATAATAGTAATAAAAAGGACTTTACAAAATTACTAAAAATTAAACTGAAATAAAAACGAAACATAAAAACAAGAGCTAATTCAAAATATTCATAAAAACAACAATAGCATATAAAAAATACTAAAATAACACTGGGCTTTCACTTGAACCAAAAAAAAAGCACAATTTACAATAACATTGTTGTCAGAATTGATTGGTGATTTGACATTTTACTGACACTAAATCTTAGGTAAGATTTCTGTGGATAACTTCAATGAAGGTGAAATACGTTGCTGCATGTCATGATTTGGCACCATCCTCATGTTTTAGCTAAAAACTGAACAGCACTTTACCCCTCTCATGTCTTTGGTAATGCAGTTGGTGTCTGTCTGTCTCTGCCTGTCGGAGCACGTTCTCACCGACTCTCCTGAGCTGTTGCTCAAAGGCAATACGGAAAGCATCCATCATAACGTAAGCCTCCTCCTTCCTCTTCTGCTGCTCCTCCAGCTAATGCAGAAAAAAAAAAACTGTGTTACAAGACCCTCTAAGACAAATGAGCAAAGCCAGCCCTGCCTGTAATGGTTTTAATACATGCATTGGCTGAATAGGAGGGTTAATTTACAAGGTAATGGAACTGAAGTATTGACAAATACAAGACGAGTACCTCTTGCTTGAGTTGGAGAACTTGTTTTCGGCTTGCAGCAGCACTTCTAGCACAAGAGCATGGCTCGCCCCCATTAGAGTTACACTGGCATGCCCCATAAACTGCCAGCTTAACAACAAGATAAGAGGACAGAGAGCTGTTTGTTTACTACAGAATAGAGCTATTTAACACAGACTACAATTCACCAACATTACCTCCAGAGCTGAACCGTCTGTTCTGAGGCTGCAGGAAGGCTGGGTCCTCTGGAAGTCCCTTCTTTCCTTAGTACTAAGCATGGACAGGAGCTCCAAACATTTTTGGCTCAGAGCTAAGACACAAAATGCATAAATATGTACTGGGAACAAACCAGTTATTGGGGTCATCAAATAAAAGTAGGAAATATGATGCGACTTGCATGCATTCTCTGTCCTTTGCTCCTGGTGCTCTTTCATTTTCTCCTCTAGTGCTTTCTTTATGGCTTCATTTTCTGCCAATACCCTGAGGTGGTATTTACATGAACCAGTGAGATGTGGGCATTTGTGTAGTTCCTTAATGCATATTTAAAGCCTTAATCAATGGATACATTATTAAACAGGACTCTTTTTTTATCAAAATAAAGCAAAATGGGTTGCAGATGGCATTTCACATCGACTATAAAGTCACAATGAAATGGAAGTAGCAGCAAATAATTTCTTCTGTATTGTTTGTGACCTTTGTGAAGTATATCTGAGGGTGGATTTTGAGGTCTGGGCATTGCCCTCAAAACTAGTAGAGACAGATGGACAGGACACAAGCTTGCAGACACAAATATTTGGAGAAGTTCTGCATATGTCACCAAAAAGTAGTCGGAAGGCCCAGTTATGACATTTTGATGAAACATTGCAAGGCCAAAAAAATGAAACATGGATGAATTGTTCATAACATCTATAACACGCATTTACAAAATAACAGATAGTCTTTTTGCATGGGTACCTCTCATACTTTAAACTCCATGAGTTTTCCACATTCTTGAACTGCACCTGGTTGAAGGTGATCTCCCACTGCAGTGCATTAACCTCCTGTGTGGAAACAATTTTACAGGAATGAGACCCTATTTTCAGGATATGCTTGAATTATTTTTTTTTTTAAACGATGTAGTTGTTTGAGTAGGACACCTTTTCAAGGGCCTTGTTCCTCTCTTCACTCTTCTGAAGCAATATTTTAGTATGACAAGTAGCTTTGTCCAAGATTGCCTTCAAGGACAAAATGTAGCACACTTCATAAATGACTTACAGGCTAATAAATCAGATTTAAATGAAACAATAATGATATTAATTATCAGAAATGTTTAAATACCTGTCCTTGCAAGATCCTAAGAGCCTCATGTTTCCCCTCTAGGTGGCGATGAGTGACCTCCAGTTCGGTGCGTAACAGCTCCACTTCCTGATATAATAGAGGAAAATTTGCATACAAGGAGACATGTTTATATTGCATACAAAGATACATGTTCATTCTTTTCCTTCTTCTCTCATTCTTTTTTTTTTCTTTAAGAATATTGAATAATGTTACATCTCTTTCATATCTCCTCTCTTAATGTATTCGGTATCATTTAATGTCTCCTTGTTTTGATACATTGTTTTACTGCTTGTATGTCTCAACTTGTTCTGTTTGTTAATTTTGCATTAAAAAAAATACATGTTATATGGAAAGATAAATCATTTTTTACTCAATTAAAAAAAGCTAATAAAGGAGCCACTTTTCTGTGACTATAATGTGTGAGACATTATTGTTATTTGATCATTTATTATATTTATTACATTCATTAGAGCAATTCTGTGAGTTTACCTCTGTGACCTCCTGTAGTCTTCTCTGCAGCTCTTCACTTGTGTCCTCAGAGGAGCTTTCTACAAAAGAATGCCGTTACATTTAGAAAATTAGATACTTTTGTTTTTTGCATGTCGGCACATGGGTTTCTATTGCCAACACATCATATCCTGGTGGTAGTGTGGTTCTCAAATTACTATTGTTGAATATTTGTTTAAGAATTGCTCAAGGGAGTAGCCTACACAGTCAACTCCCTGATAAGAAATAGCAGATGTTAACTTCACAAAACACCACAGACCATGCGAATAATAATAACCCCCACAGAGTGTTTTAGTATATTACCAGGAAGTTCTCTCTGTAAAGCTTTTAAACATAACTAACTTATTATGTGGTTCATATAGGCTAGTAGATTAGTCTGCTCTGTGTCCATGAAGGTATCAAAGAGGTTTGATAGGTTTAAATGACTTTAAATGAAAGTCCAGAAAACTAACCAGACTGTCTTTTCTCCCACTGTGCAACTCGTTCAGCTTCCAGTTCTTCCCTAAAGACAGCATACATAGTTCTGCATGATGTCCAGGAGAATGGCCCGTTGCTTCTCTCATTGCCCCCTTTCATTGGCCGTGACTTGGACAAGAAGTCCAGAAACCTCCCCCTGCTCTTTGTTTGTGGGAGACGGTCATGATGTCCTCTGGATCTGGCCCCCATGCCATCACCCAGATCCCCCTCTGTCATCATGTCATCTTCTGTGAGGCATTGAGGGCATGAACCCTCACCCTGCATCACAACAAACTATTGAAGAAAAAAAGACACAAAATCAGACACAAAAAGAAGTAGGCCTATATCAAGCACGTTGAGTACTGCGTAGCCCATATTTAAATGCATTTAAAGTGACATATTTAAATAATGTTTGATAGTCAAAATAGCAGACAAGGATGTTAAATCGAGCTGTAAACTTACATATGTAAAACGAAACTTTTAGCATTCCTTGAGTGTAGAGGAAGAATACATAACCATACTAACCTGTCCGTGGGGAGATGTTTTTGTATTTCGCCGACAAGAACAACGGCAAAATTCCACATCAATGTCTTTCCGCTTACTTTGACGAAGTGAAACTTCTGCAAAGAGGCGTGTCTTGTCTTGACAGGTACCCAGAGCCGGCCCGAGGCATAAGTGAACTAAGCGGCCGCTTAGGGCCCCCTGACCACCAGGGGGCCCCCTAATCGGGGTTATTTTTTATTTTTATTTTTTTAGATTACTTAAACAAGTGACATAAATCAATGAATGAATGAAATGACTGAATGAATCATTCAAGACAACAAAACTCTGATTTAATGATCAATATACCTGTTACTGTTGCTGTGTCTGCCTGCATTTAAGTCATGCGTCTAGATCATAGACTGTAAAAAAACGGGTTGAAGAAATATTGTTTAGGCACTTTGTTTGATATAATCACAACAATTTAACGCAAGTATGGGAATTGAACTCAGATCTTCTTGATTAAAGCCCAACGCTTTATCAACTGAGCCACTGCGGGTTTAGTTTTTTTTGTTGGAAAAATAAATATAGACCTAAGGCAGTATAGCCCTATTTATGGTTCTGAGTTTAAACTAAACCGTGACATCTACACGTTTTCCAAATTGGACCAACGTGATTATTTCACGTCTTGTCGTGATACGGGTTGTGCACTGAAGTTACAGGAGTTTCTTCCCGTTGCTAAGCAATGGAGGTCGAGTATTTAAAAGGTTATGGTTGACACGGTTAACGTGGTTTAACGTCGATACGTTGTTTTAGCGTAGGCCTACCTTTTGCTTAAACGAGGAGCTGGGGGACGCCGGAAAAATAGACATTTTACTCATTAGGCTGCTTCATTAAAAACGTGACATTAGACGTTTTCTTCGGGGTGGATCCGGGCAAATGAATCCTTTTCACTTTGAAAATAATAAAACAATTTTTTTTTTTTTTTGCATTTTAAATAATAGACCATTTCTCAATGATCGTAAATAAAACAAAATTCCATTTTCTCGGTTTAATGAAAACCAATAGGTCGTTATGGCAGAGGCGAATAAACATCCGGATATCTCTCCAATGGAGCGTGTTAACGCAAACGTGTATGTTTCACGTTTGAGGGGGTTAAACCGTGACATCTACACATTTTCCAAAGTGGACAATTGAGGCTGCTTCATTAAAAAATGTGACATTTAGACGTTTTTTTTCAGCGTGGATCGAGGCAAATGAATCGTGTTCACCTTGAAAATAATAAATGTTTTATGCATTTTAAATATTAGACCATTTCTCAGTGATCGTCAATAAAAAAAAAAAAAAAATTCTCAGTTTAATGAAAACAAATAGGTAAGTTTCAGTTTAAGTGTAAATTTCACGTTTGAGGGGGTTTAAACCGTGACATCTACGCGTTTTCAAAAGTGCACCAAAGTGATTATTTCACGTCACGATACCGAGTTGAAGAAATACTGTTTAAATATAATTTGACACAAGAGGGCAGTATAGCCCTATTTATGGTTTTGAGTTTAAACTAAACCGTGACATCTACACGTTTTCCAAAGTGGACCAACGTGATTATTTCACGTCTTGTCGTGATACGGGTTAGGCACTGAAGTTACAGGAGTTTCTTCCCGTTGCTAAGCAATGAACTAGGTCGAGTATTTAAAAGGTTATGGTTAACACGGTTAACTTGGTTTAACGTCGATGTAATACGTTGTTTTTAGCGTACCTTTTGCTTAAAACGAGGAGCTGGGGGGACGCCGGAAAAATAGACATTTTACTCATTAGGCTGCTTCATTAAAAACGTGACAAAAAGACGTTTTCTTCGGCGTGGATCCATGCAAATGAATCATTTTCACCTTGAAAATAATAAATGTTTTTTTTGTTTTTTGTTTTTGCATTTTAAATAATAGACCATTTCTCAGTGATCGTCAATAAAAGAAAATTCCATTTTCTCGGTTTAATGAAAACCAATAGGTCGTGATGGTAAGTTTTAAGTGTAAGTTTCACGTTTGAGGGGGTTTAAACCGTGACATCTACACGTTTTCAAAAGTGGACCAACGTGATTATTTCACGTCTTGTCATGATACCGGGTTGAAGAAATATTGTTCAGGCCACTTTGTTTGATATAATCACAACAATTTAACGCAAGTATGGGAAATTGAACTCAGGTCTTCTTGATTAAAGCCCAACGCTTTATCAACTGAGACACTGCATCTGTTGAGTTCAAGGGTGTAATGGAAGGGGTTTTATTGCAGGTTTGGCTTTATTTGTCGGAAAAATAACAAAGAGGGCAGTATAGCCCTGTTTATGGTTTTGAGTTTAAACTAAATCGTGACATCTACACGTTTTCCAAAGTGGACCAACGTGATTATTTCACGTCTTGTCGTGATAGGGGTTGGGCACTGAAGTTACAGGAGTTTCTTCCAGTTGCTAAGCAATGGAACTAGGTCGAGTATTTAAGTCTAGACCCTTCCAGAGCTGAGATATCGAATCTAAAAATTTCGACCCGAAAAAAAAACCCCTTTCGTTTTTTTTTTTTTTTCGGGCGAAAAATTAAGTTTCTCCAATCTTCTCAAAACTCTGGATTCTGATAGAGGGCCATGAGACTTAAACCTGAGTGCAAAAATTGAGGCTCTAGACCCTTCCAGAGCTGAGACAAACCCGGGCTGTCGTTTTTTCTTTTGGGTCGAATTTTTGAGTTTCGATATCTCAGCTTTGGAAGGGTCTAGAGCCTCCATTTTTGCACTCAGGTTTAAGTCTCATGGCCATCTATCAGAATCCAGAGTTTTGAGAAGATTGGAGAAACTTAATTTTTCGCCCGAAAAAAAAAAACGGGCTGTTGTTTTTTTTTGGGTCGAATTTTTGAGTTTCGATATCTCAGCTCTGGAAGGGTCTAGAGCCTCCATTTTTGCACTCAGGTCAAAGTCTCATAGCCCTCTATCATAATCCAGAGTTTTGAGAAGATTGGAGAAACGTAATTTTTCGCCCGAAAATGAAAAAAAAACGAAAGGGGTAACACTGTCGTTTTTTTTTCGGGTCGAAATTTTGAATTTCGATATCTCAGCTCTGGAAGGGTCTAGAGCCTCCATTTTTGCACTCAGGTCAAAGTCTCGTGGCCCTCTATCATAATCCAGAGTTTTGAGAAGATTGGAGAAACTTAATTTTTCGCCCGAAAACGAAAAAAAAAAACGAAAGGGGTAACACTGTCGTTTTTTTTTTCGGGTCGAAATTTTGAATTTTGATATCTCAGCTCTGGAAGGGTCTAGAGCCTCCATTTTTGCACTCAGGTCAAAGTCTCGTGGCCCTCTATCATAATCCAGAGTTTTGAGAAGATTGGAGAAACTTAATTTTTCGCCCGAAAACGAAAAAAAACGAAAGGGGTAACACTGTCGTTTTTTTTTTCGGGTCGAATTTTTGAGTTTCGATATCTCAGCTCTGGAAGGGTCTAGAGCCTCCATTTTTGCACTCAGGTCAAAGTCTCGTGGCCCTCTATCATAATCCAGAGTTTTGAGAAGATTGGAGAAACTTAATTTTTCGCCCGAAAATGAAAAAAAACGAAAGGGGTAACACTGTCGTTTTTTTTTTCGGGTCGAAATTTTGAGTTTCGATATCTCAGCTCTGGAAGGGTCTAGAGCCTCCATTTTTGCACTCAGGTCAAAGTCTCGTGGCCCTCTATCATAATCCAGAGTTTTGAGAAGATTGGAGAAACTTAATTTTTCGCCCGAAAACGAAAAAAAAAAACGAAAGGGGTAACACTGTCGTTTTTTTTTCGGGTCGAAATTTTGAATTTTGATATCTCAGCTCTGGAAGGGTCTAGATCCTCCATTTTTGCACTCAGGTCAAAGTCTTGTGGCCCTCTATCATAATCCAGAGTTTTGAGAAGATTGGAGAAACTTAATTTTTCGCCCGAAAACGAAAAAAAACGAAAGGGGTAACACTGTCGTTTTTTTTTTCGGGTCGAAATTTTGAGTTTCGATATCTCAGCTCTGGAAGGGTCTAGAGCCTCCATTTTTGCACTCAGGTCAAAGTCTCGTGGCCCTCTATCATAATCCAGAGTTTTGAGAAGATTGGAGAAACTTAATTTTTCGCCCGAAAATGAAAAAAAACGAAAGGGGTAACACTGTCGTTTTTTTTTTCGGGTCGAAATTTTGAATTTTGATATCTCAGCTCTGGAAGGGTCTAGAGCCTCCATTTTTGCACTCAGGTGAAAGTCTCATGGCCCTCTATCAGAATCCAGAGTTTTGAGAAGATTGGAGAAACTTAATTTTTCGCCCAAAAACGAAAAAAAACAAAAGGGTAACACTGTCGTTTTTTTTTCGGGTTGAAATTTTGAGTTTCGATATCTCAGCTCTGGAAGGGTCTAGAGCCTCCATTTTTGCACTCAGGTCAAAGTCTTGTGGCCCTCTATCATAATCCAGAGTTTTGAGAAGATTGGAGAAACTTAATTTTTCGCCCGAAAACGAAAAAAAACGAAAGGGGTAACACTGTCGTTTTTTTTTTCGGGTCGAAATTTTGAGTTTCGATATCTCAGCTCTGGAAGGGTCTAGAGCCTCCATTTTTGCACTCAGGTCAAAGTCTCGTGGCCCTCTATCATAATCCAGAGTTTTGAGAAGATTGGAGAAACTTAATTTTTCGCCCAAAAATGAAAAAAAACGAAAGGGGTAACACTGTCGTTTTTTTTTTCGGGTCGAAATTTTGAGTTTCGATATCTCAGCTCTGGAAGGGTCTAGAGCCTCCATTTTTGCACTCAGGTCAAAGTCTCGTGGCCCTCTATCATAATCCAGAGTTTTGAGAAGATTGGAGAAACTTAATTTTTCGCCCGAAAACGAAAAAAAAAAAACGAAAGGGGTAACACTGTCGTTTTTTTTTCGGGTCGAAATTTTGAATTTTGATATCTCAGCTCTGGAAGGGTCTAGAGCCTCCATTTTTGCACTCAGGTCAAAGTCTCGTGGCCCTCTATCATAATCCAGAGTTTTGAGAAGATTGGAGAAACTTAATTTTTCGCCCGAAAATGAAAAAAAACGAAAGGGGTAACACTGTCGTTTTTTTTTCGGGTCGAAATTTTGAATTTTGATATCTCAGCTCTGGAAGGGTCTAGAGCCTCCATTTTTGCACTCAGGTCAAAGTCTCATGGCCCTCTATCATAATCCAGAGTTTTGAGAAGATTGGAGAAACTTAATTTTTCGCCCGAAAACGAAAAAAAAAACGAAAGGGGTAACACTGTCGTTTTTTTTCGGGTCGAAATTTTGAATTTCGATATCTCAGCTCTGGAAGGGTCTAGAGCCTCCATTTTTGCACTCAGGTCAAAGTCTCGTGGCCCTCTATCATAATCCAGAGTTTTGAGAAGATTGGAGAAACTTAATTTTTCGCCCAAAAATGAAAAAAAACGA